TGTGTGTGTGTGTGTGTGTGTGTGTGTGTGTGTGTGTGTGTGTGTGTGTGTGTGTGTGTGTGTGTATATATGTGTATATATGCTCCACAATAAACAAAAAAGACATACAAATCTTCACTTTTTATAATACAGGACCTTTAACTCCCCCAAACACGCACAAATATTGACATGTTTGAACTTTGCAGTAATGTCGTTTGGATGCTAGTTGTGCAGCCTAATTTTAACAATTTCAAAATAATATCCAATTCCTGTGCATGCATTCCCTTTACCTGTTGTCCTGCAGGTGCTATAAAGCAGAGGTCCCATGTGTCTGAAGTTGTTCTACAGCAGACCGTGACAGTCATTCCACCTGAAATGAGTCGGTTCATCCCACCCACCCAGCTCTCACAGATTGATGCAACAGTGAGTAATTGAATGGTGTGCAAACAACTTGCACAGTAAACCAACTGGCTTTAAACAATGCAATCGAATGTCTCTAAGGGTGTGAAAACATGCACAGGTTACTTTGATTGGTTGTCGTTGTGTTTATGACAAGGTTCTGACGCTTGGCCTGTTATTTCAGTAAGACTAGAAACACAAATATGTTGTTTTTTATGTCATAAATTACATGTTTTCTCCATTTGAAAAAATAGGTAAAATAAATGTTTTTACTTTGGATTCTGATGCACCAGACCAGTAGTAGCTCATTCTGTGGGCTGCATTCATACCAGACTACAATACATGTTTTTTTCATGTTAGACAAACTGTCTCTATTGCATGAAACCAGTGAGACTGGTAGTCTTCCACAAATTTGAGTCATTCACACGGCCAAATACTATTTGAACCAAACTTTCAAATTGTAAATTCTTTGTCCCGATGCTTCAACTTATGTCGTGATTTACCGTTCAAGTGCAACCTTTTATTCCTGAACATCCAGATTAAAAAAGGTTTTAAGAGGAAAGCGGACATCATGACCTCCACCACCTCAGTCCTCACCAGTGGTGACGTCTCCCTCGCTGAGCATCATTCAGCACCGTGTGCGTTATTCTCCAAGAGAGGCAGTCGAAGGCCCATCAAACCTCCGAAGAAGGACTTGCCAGCCTTGGAGGGCAAGAAGATCCGACTGTCCGATCAGCTCCGGTGCTGCGATGACATCCTGAAGGAGATGCTCTCAAAGAGACACTACGCATGTGCCTGGCCCTTTTACACCCCCGTCGATGCGGTCACTTTTGGCTTGCACGACTACCATGACGTCATCAAGCAGCCTATGGACCTGAGCTTCATCAGGGTAAGATGATTCTAAAATATATTTCACACTTATTTTCAATGCAAGTCTGATCAGTTTTTCATTAAGTGTCATTTCCTCAGAGGAAGATGGATCAACGAGAGTACGTAAACGCAAAGGAATTTGCCGCCGATGTCCGACTGATGTTCTCCAACTGTTACAAATACAATCCACCAACGCATGAGGTGGTCGTCATGGCAAGGAAACTGCAGGTATAGATTCTATATGTTGCGTTTCCCACCAAAATGCATTCTGTGAGTCCTTACGGCCTAATACGTGTGCTGAATGTACTTTCCTCTACATACACAATTAGCAGACCCAATGTTTTGAAAGACTGTGAAACTGACATTGTTTACATCCATGTGTGCTTGCTAGCAGGCCCATTCCTCCTCGCCTTTTTCTGTTGGCACATTGCTACATCTCCTGGCATTTTACCACCACCAGCTGTTGATCAGTGGAATAGTATGCAACCATCTGCAGGACTGGATATCACACATAACTAACAGCAGGGGGACCCACCAGCAAAGCTGCAATGTGGAACATCTGCAAAGAATTTTAGTTCAAAACATTAAAAAAATGAACGAGCATTGTCAGCAGAATGTGAAGAGGTTGCTTTTAGAGTTTCAGCAGTTTGGTTGAATTTAGCATAATTTTGCTCTGCAGTGACGTAGTAGTTGGCTTCTTTATTATTACTTTTTTTTTAAATGACTGATTGCTATAAATGTAGATTTCATGGACCAAATAGTAGAGATGAAATACTGCTCCCTCCTCATTTGTTAGGAGCAGATGGCTTCATGTTACACCTTTTTAAAGTCGTTAATATAATAATATATATGTTTATTAGCAGGAATATTTAGAATGAAAATGTCTCCGTACATTATGCCTGCCTATACATGCTGTGAACACAGACATCATTCAGTGAATGGAAGTCGAAGCATTGGTGTCAATATCATCATTTCTGTTACTACTATAATAACCTTAGTGTTTGAATCAACAGGAAGTTTTCGAGGCCCGATATCTGAAGGTTCCCCAAGAAGAGCGTTGTCCCATACCTCATCAGCGAGTTGACAAGGGAAAGAAAGACCGAGTTCAGAATTCAACCTCTGAAAGCGAAAGCTCCTCAGAGGCAGAGAGTTCCTCCGGAGAGATGACCACGCAGCTAGCCAATCTGGAGGAGCAGGTTGCTATACATTCATGCCTGTAACCGTGCAAATGGCTTTAGAGAAGTTATTCTTTCCGCTGCATTTGACCTAATTGGCCCATTGATGGCTGGCTTTTCAGTTGAAAGCTGTCCGTGACGAGCTGAAGAGACTAACCCAAGAGCCCCTGGTTAAACCTAAGAAGAAAGACAAGTTGAAAAAGGAAAAAAGAGCCAAAGAAAAGGATATCCGTCGACTAAAGCACAAGTTCTCAAAATACAAGTCTGTTGTCGAAAAAATGGCCAACCGCAAGAGCTCTACTTTGTAATTTTTGATATGGTTTATATTTTGTATTGTTGAACCAAGCATTCCACATGTGCTAACATTAGATGTTTATCTATTTATGTCGAGGCATGGCAGCAGACCCAACATTCATGGAGTGACTTTAACATGCGAGGACGACGTCTCATCAGTACCAGTCACCTACCAGGAGAAAAAACAGTTGAAATTGGACATCGACAAGCTGCCTGGTGACAAACTGGGCAATTTGGTGAACATCATTCATGCCAGGGAGTCCTGCATGCAAAGTTCCACCCTGGAGGAGATCGAGGTGGACTTTGAGGTGCTGAAGCCCTCCACACTGAGAGCCCTGCAGAGGTTTGTCGCAGCATGTCTGAGGGAGTGCAACGAGGACACTCGCAGTAAGTACAGCTCAAACCTGCTTTGCTTAAAGCTAGAGTGCAGAACTTTTGAGATTCTTGTGGTGTTCTCAGTGCGGGAATGTCACCACAAACACCACGACTGTGGTACACTGAAGAATACAGAGAGCTTTCCCTGGCGGTGGTAGGCTTATTCAGCATTTAAAATCACATTTAAGTTTGTAAAATGTGCAATTAGGCACTGTGTCCAAAGCGTTTTTTTCCCAGTTGAAAATGCCCAGCTGGCAGTGCTTGAGAGCATTATTGAGGCGCAGTGTTTTTTCCGCTGCTTTGGTTGCGTCTAGTTGCTATGATGCGGAATATCATCAAAGGTAAAAATGTCGGCACAAGAATGAATACTTGCTCTGGATGGAGCATGTAGGGAGAGAGGGCCTGCCGGTCTATATGGCTAATGGAGTTTTGTGGAGGAAACAACCAGTTTCAGATCAACTTATTTATCCCACACAAAATTTGTTTGGTACAGTGCTCCAGACACGAGGACACCATAAAGTCCACAGTAAAAACATAGAAAAAAACAACACAAACAACAACAACAGGGCCGCAACATACGAATAAAACACATTCGATCTCGCCTTTGTGGTCGGCTGTTTGTCCCGCCCCTCCTCCACTGTGATTGGATGACTGGGTAAAAAGTGACAGTGACAAGTGCAGCGTTTTACGCAGTAAAAAGTTTAAAATATTGTAACTCTCTGCAACCAGGAAAAGGCAGTATCGGGCAACGCTCAGCGCAGCACTCCCACGGCAACATTTTTTAATAATATGCTGGCCTCTTTTGTGGAAGCAGCCTCTATGGAGGGTTATTGTCTCTTCTGTCCTGCAGAAAACAAGCTGGTGAAGCCCACAGGAGGTTTGCCGACTGGCAAACTAAAGGATGCTGGGACATCACAGGCTGCCAACAAAGAGCAGCACTTGATTAAGAAAAAAAAGCTATTAGGTAAGATCTTAAATTGATTAACAATCTAATCGCCACATTTACGCTTCCACATGTGACGCATTGAGTGTAAAAATTACCTTTTTGTTTTTTGTTACCAGCTAAAATCATGGCGGCTCCTGCCCTCGGCTGCCCTTCATACCTCAGTGAAATCAGCAGCAACAGCTCTGGCAGCAGCAGCAGCAGTCATTCCAGCACGTCCAACAGCAGTGACTCTGAATCAGGTCAGCTGCTTCCCTCCTTAGCTCCTCGCCTACCTCTGGTTTACCCTTCCCTCCTCTCCTTTCCTAGGACAAGAGATAAGCCACGGGCATAATTCATCTGGGCGCCTTTCTATGGTTCCAACCCTTCTCTCGGTTGCACACCAAATATTTAATTGTTTTGTATTGTTGCACATTCATCAAGTGTTTGCTCTTTGTGTTTATCTCACTCACATTTCTGATAATCTGTCTACACAGAAGAGGTGTGTCCCCATGACACCTGAGACGGTCATTTAATTGTTGTGGAAATTAATTTATGTCTTGCTTTGCGTCATCAGCGGCACTGATAAGTAAAGCACATTGAAGAAGGCAAGAAAAACACCAGTCTGACACTCTACACTAAGACATGTCGTTACAAGAAACAGTTTATTTAGTTTACCAGCGAGTAAAGTTAAACGGATGAAAGAAAAACTATGTATAATAAATTGTCCTCCACATTGACGAGCAAGAGGCGCTACATGTTTAAAAGGATTATTATGATGATACATGATAGCCTACAGAATAATATGCCTACGAAAACAAGTTTCTAAAACATAGTCTGTAGCTAACGTTAAGGTTTTTTTTGTGACAATGGAAACCAGTTAGCTGAGTTAAAAGTTATGTCTGTTCTGACCTCAATAGAAGCCTTGTCTGGGAACTTTGTTCTTTCATCTTTCAACCAACCACTTTGTACAAGAACCCCCCCCCCCCCCCACTGTCTGTGCGTCGGTATAAACCCACGGTGGGAAAGCATTTCAATATGGGGCTGTGACAAAATGGACAAAATCTAGTGTGAGACTTGCAAACTAGTTTATCCTCTTTCATTGTATATGTTTTCTGTTGTCCTGTTTGAGCACGGGGGAAAGAAATGCATTCCAGACATTTCTTTGTAAGACCTTTTTAAAGTATGACATAAAAAAGGGATTATTATAAGGTGGGGTTGGGATGAAGGCGCGTGAGTTGTGATCAACATGGCTAAAGTTCACATAACAATGTATAAATGTTTATTTTTAAAAAAAAAAGGGAATTCAGGAAAATTCTAAACTATTTTTTGAATAAAATGATCTGTTTACCTATTTATTTTCTTTGGTGTTTGGAAATACAATCCCTGACAAAAGTCTTGTCACTTATCCATTTTGTAGAAACAACAGCTTATAACCTGACTTTTAATTAATCCATTGGTTTTAGAAATGGCTCACATGAAACCTAAAACCCTCCCAATTTATGTTTAATATACTAAAATAAATTTGCTTCACTGAAGAAAGATTGATCATTTAATGAACACAGAAAGGTCAGATTTTGGCAAGACAAAAGTTTTGTCGCCTACAGAGAGTAATGTGAAAATTGAACAAATAATTTACTTAATACAAAAATATGTTGCATAACATCAGTGAATTAAGTAGTGGTGCTGTGAGATCCATATTTAATATCTTGTATGACTTCCATGAGCTTGAAGGACTGCATCCATGCGGTTCAACAATGATTCATACAATTTATTGATGAAGTCATCAGGAATAGCAAAGAAAGCAGTCTTACGGTACATGCCTTCCAGAGTTCATCAAGATTCTTTGGTTTCGTCTTCCATGCTTCCTCTTTCATTCTACCCCGGACATGCTCAATGATGTTCATGTCTGGTGACTGGGCTGGCCAGTCCTGGAGCACCTTGATCTTCTTCGCCTTGAGGAACTTTGATGTAGAGATGGAAGTATGCGATGGAGCACCATCCTGCTGCAAAATTTGACCCCTTTTATGGTTGGGAATGTAAGAGGTAGCTAATACTTCTTGATATTTTAGGCTATTGATATTGCCTTCCACCCTGCAAATCTCTCGCACACCCCTATACTGGATGTAACCCCAGACCATGATTTTTCCGCCACCAAACTTAACTGCTTTCTGGGTGAATCTCAGATCCATGCGGGCTCCAGTAGGTCTCCTGCAATATTTGCGCCGGCTGTGATGTAATTCAACCGAAGATTCATCTGAGAAATCCACCTTCTGCCACTTTTCCAGCGTCCATCCTTTTAGCAGGCTCTGGGCCTTGGCAAATGCCACACGTTTTTTTTAATTGCCTTTTGTTTAGTGCTGGTTTCTGGTTTGCAGGGTCTGCCGGACCTGGGCTTGTCAAAAACATCTACAGTCTCTTCAAATCTTTTTCTTATTCTTTGTACTTGACGCTGAGACACATTGAAGGTGTCAGCCACCTCAGCAGTGGATCTGGTCTTCTGCCTCTTGATAATCAACGCTTTGGTCTCAGGGTGAATCTTAGGCATGTTGTCAGAGGTCAAGTTGCAGTTGATGTGAAGGTCTGGTGTGCTGGGGTTCTTTTTATACACACCCACTAATTGATTGATCAATTATTGATCACAGGTGAGGCTGTAATCTAGGATTGGGTGCATCATATGACAAGGCGACAAGACTTTTGTCTTTGCAAAAACTGACTCTGGGCTTTACCAAGCTGTGAACATTGGAATGCTTTTCAGCAGTTTCGTTTGGCACCAAAACATTATTTCAAAAGCTGTTGGGATTGAAATTAGCAATTTCTTGTAAAAAAAAATTGATTACAAATATATTTGAGGGGCACTTAAGGTCAACTTGTACCCAAGCGACAAGACTTTTGTCAGGGACTGTAGTTGTTTGTTGATTTGTTAAGTTATTTGTGAGCTAATCATTAAAAATAATTTGGACAATAGATATTTAAATATACAACATTTAATTGTCATATGCGTGTCTTTCAGTGCCAAAAGCAAAGAAGACGAAAAGCAAAGACTCTTGCCAGAAGATTAAGACGAAGGTAAGCTCAGTATTTGCTTCCTGTAATCGGTTTCATGGTGACATCTTCTTACTGGTTAGAATGAAAAGTAAGTGTCATTTCTCCTTAAATCAAAGGTGACTCGTGCTGCCAGTGGCAAGTGGATATCGGAGGCCAAAGACTCGACAAAAGCCTCGGTCAAGACTTGTCCGGCTTCTCTTGCTGTGCAGTCCTCGGTGACGGAAACCAGAGGACACCCAGCACACCGTGAGGAGCTGACTTTATCTCCTCCAGGTACTGCCTCCATGTATCCTTCATGTCCCTCAGCTAACAGGGAATTAAGAACTGTCAGACGGGCATCAATACCTCCCAAAAACACTGAACTCCCAGAACTCTCATTGAGATTCCTTCCTCCTCCCTCACTGATGTGGCTGCTCATCCATTGACCCTTACCCTTTCAATGCCTGTTCCCCTCAGGCCGCCTGTTCCCCTCTAAACGTCTCGTGTCCTCGGTGTCGGTCAGAAACAGAAGTTCAGGAAGTTTCACTCGCTCTCGTTCTAACAGGGCTGAGCAGGAACGTTAAGGTCCAGTCAGTTAGCGCCCTTCTTTCCTTCCATCTCATGCTGCCTTCAGCTGAGTTATCTGTGCACTAGCTCTTGCTCCAATCCGTATGAAGGCACAGTAGTTCCTTGCCTCTCACATGGTTGCCATGTGTTGAATATCAATATGTGCCCTTTTGCCATTGACAGATCTGTCTGCCCTTTTATCCCCCATGACATCTCCGGGAGTTGTGCTGGACTGGACTGCCACCAGATTTGAGGTGCTTCTGATGAAATGGCAACACTTCACACACACCCTTTGTTTTGATCGTTCGAACTTTTTAAAAATCTTGTGACGCACATTTCTTGTGCTGAATCTTGTTACGAACTGCACCTTTTTTTATTTTTATAACGACCTGAGTATCAATGAGACCATACAAGTCAGTTAATGTAGTGGTAAAGGTTCTACGTGTCATTTCTGCCTTACTGCTGACCGACTATCATTTTACACTGAGTAACCTAAAAGCCAACACATCCTGGTTGCTACTGAGTTCATGTTGTATGATACACCAGACCAAGTTGCATTTACAGGCCTCCCCTGGCTGTGCTTACAGAGCTGTTTGATAGTCGATCAACAGAAAGTCCCAGATCAGGTGCATCACAGTGCTCTTATAGAAAGTAGATGATGTTAAATTGTCGGAATCAAAAGTGTTGCTCCTCATTCAACTGGTTGCTCAAACAAATACATTGCCTCCATATTGCCAATGATTCTACAAATCCTTTTGCAGTATCACTACTTCAGTGTTAACTTGTGTCTCTGTGTTCACTCAGTTATTTCTAACAACACTAAATTGTAAGTAGAAGTAATTGTACATTTTCAATGCTCCCTGGCAGTTTTTCTCTTTGTAGACTCATAATTGTAAGAAAAGTATTCAAGGGCTATCGGAACGAAGAAAGACACCAACAGGGACCATTCCTATACTAAGTCTTCTTCACGGTTTTATATCACGGATAGTTTTATGATAGTCATAATGTTTCAGCTTGTTTGGACTTAAATATTTAGAAATGTCACCTAAAGATTTTTAAATGTTGAACTAAATCCTTTCAGCAGGGCCCGGTGCTGTCCCCTCTGAGAGACGGCCCGGTGCTGTCCCCTCTGAGAGACGGCCCGGTGCTGTCCCCTCTGAGAGACGGCCCGGTGCTGTCTCCTCTGAGAGACGGCCCGGTGCTGTCTCCTCTGAGAGACGGCCCACCGCAGTCCAAAGATGAGACCAGGTCCAGTAAGTCACTCCAAGACCGCTACTCTGACATCACTATTTACATTTGTTAGCAATCCTTTAGCAGGACACTTATTTTTATATGGATTGTGCCAGATTCCAGATACCCGGAGGACTTCCCTGACAGCCGGCTGACCAATGTGCCTTACACCAACACAGCCAGTAACTCTGCTGAAGAGGAAAAAAACCCAGTTCCCAAAAAGGTCAGCATTGTTTTACCTGAGTAACATGTTGTGGTGCATTCACATGCTCTTCGGAAGCTCCCATTGTTCATGAGCTTGAAGTCGTAATGTGGAAACAACATAGAGGTCTACAGAGATGTATTTTACTGCTCAGCGCGTTTAAACTTTGAACCTGAACACATTTGGCGCCACCAGTTCCCACCTCTCTTGAGATGGACAAATGAACACGGTGCTTTGTCTGGTGTAGGATATTGTTCTGAAAAATGCTGAGTCTTGGGCGAAACTGGTGCAGCAGTCAGTCACTGCGACTGCAATCAAGTCCTCAAAGGAGAGCTTCCAGAAGTTCCGTAGGGCTGCCATAAAGAAGGAAGAACGCGAAAAAGCCCTGAAGAAGAAACAGATGGGCGACAGCACGGAGAGGGAGGCTCCTGAGAAGAGCAGGTAATCGAATGCATCAAACTTGCTTCTAAATTTCATTTCTTTATCTCATTTTCCAGGCTACAATGTATACTTCAAAGAGTCCTGATAAAGCAAAGCAGTATTTTTCTGTGAAAACCTTTTTGATTGTTAAAGAGGAATATTTCCGATCAACAAGGATGTTCTCCTTCTAGCTTACCGGGCCCACGTGGAGCAGAAACGAACCCACAACCTATCAAGGAGGATCCCGATTCACCGGAGAGCATTTGCACAGAAGCTACCCCGGACGCTGCAAAAGATGTGGAGCAGCAAACGTCTACCGCAGAAACGCAGCCTGTGGCCACACAGTCGCCGGTGGACCGGGAGAGAGAGCTGGCCCGCAGGAAGGAGCAAGAACGCCGCAGACGAGAGGCTGTGAGAACCCTCGGCCATGTTTCAGGGTTATGTTGTTGTTCTGGTGGGAAACGGCTTTCTAACAACTGTACTGTGGTTCATTTTTCTCTCTTCATAGATGTCTGGTATTGACATGACTCGGCAGCGGGACATCATGACTTCATTTGAACTGAACCTGGACTAAAAGACTCGGCGAATAGCTCCAGCTGCTGCTTCTTTCTCGGGCACAAAAGACAACTTCAACATCAACCGTATGCATGTCCCTGAGACTAGAAAATAAAACGGTAAACAGCTGATGCACTGTTGAATTGGAGATGATTGGGGTGTCGCACTGTCAAACTTAATACCTGGAGGTAATCTGTACAGCGTGTTTTTCTGTTCTGTTCGTGTGGATGAGTCCTCCTGCTGCTGACAGTTGTGTATGACGAGCTAATTCATGCATTCATACACTGAAGTTCAAACGCCACCTTGTCTAGTTTGCTGAAATGTGTTGTTTAGTTCTTCTGCTACATTATTCCATTTGATGAACCCTTACCACCAGTTTTCAGTTCACCCCGACATTAATGTCGACAAAACAGCCGTTTATATATTTACGTTACATGCACGTATGACTTGTTTTGTTGTTGTCATTGCACAAAAGTAAATACAAGTTTTGAATAGAAGGTGGGTAGGGTCTCGTCAAGAGTTTCCAGTGTTGAACTGAAGTTAATAATGTCAGTTCCTTATTTGCCTGACTACTTGAAAAGTACACGCACTGCACTTTGTTGTTCATACAGTTCTGGCTGTTCCAAAGTTGTGTTTGGAGATTATCAGCATGTTCTGTATGTTACGTTTGTATATGCTGAATAAATAAGAATTTCTTTCTTTCTTCTTTTTTTTTTTTTTTTTTTTTTTTTTTTTTTTTACTCAAAATAATAAAATTATTTTCACTAAGCGATCTTTACCACTTCATGACTATATATCACTATGTGTGTGTGTATATATTTATTTATATATGTATAAATTGGTGATATACATGCTAACAATACTTCTACGTTTATGCCTGTATTTTGTGATTTATTCAAATCATTTTGATCATTTCAATTAACCAGACTGCTGGTAGCCTGCAAGGGAAAATATAACGCTTTCTTTGTACACCATTTGAATTATTCATGTGATATTACTTATTAATGAATTCAGTTACATTTGTGCCTCATTTGAGCAGTTTTGTGGCTCCATATTTGGGCAAACGAAGAGTACAGCGGTTTTAGTGTGTTGCATGTGCAGTCACGTGAGGGATTAAGGTATAATCTGAAATTGGTTAACTGGTTTACAGCGTGCTGCGTTATCTTGTCTCGACTTGTGTTTTCTAACGCAATCAGAGGTTCACTGGTGAAGCCTCACCTGTGACCGTAGTGCAGCTGATTAAAGGGGAGGCAAACACATTGTTCTTTCCTTTTTTATGCTCTATTCTGAGGTTTTGGGCTACTTCACTTCCATAACGTGTCTTCTGTCAGACTAGTGGAAAGAAAACATCCAGGATAAACGTTTAGGTCTTTGTCTTACTATGTTTGTCTATTTGCGTCTGTAGCGGTCTACTGAATTCACCACAAGTTAATACATTAATACCTCATTTGCATAATTACACATTTTCAGAAAACTTGTAATACAAAAAACAAAGAAAAAAAAGTCTTAATGTAGCTCGGTAATAAATTGTGGCAGTATCATGTCCACATCTATATTTTTTACCTGGGTGTCTCTTTAACGTATGAATGCTGCCCGGTAGACACCCGTCACAGCACGGCTGCTAATTAAGGCCGCCGAGCAGCCACTCATTACGCAATTACTTCATTGACTGATATACGAGCACGTACACGCTGACTTTTGTTGCCATAACAGCGGCGCGACGCCCCGGTGCTTTGCAGGGATTTTTTTTCTTCTCCGGGCTTCCTCTCGCGCCCAGCGCCTCCCGGCTGCGCTCGAATCGCCGCAACGCGCTTTTTCGGACTTGCCTTGTTTAGTCAACAACAACAACAACAACATCGCCGTCTCCCGCTAAACGGCCGCCGCTGCGCTGTCACACGCAAGCGTGCAATCTGACGCGATGGCTCTCGCCGCCTTTCCCATTCAAGCGTTTGTCGGGATCCTCCCTTCAGCCAGTCGTGCGTGTGCGCTGGTAAGCGACACAACGGCATCGTGAGCTTTTTTTCAGAAAACAGAAACAAGCGATTAACAGAAGCCAATCAATAGGTAACTTGATCCGTGTTGATTTTTTTTGTTTTCCTGCGGCAATGTAAAGATGGCGAGAGTGCTCCACAACTTCTTGTTATTTCTCATCCGACTTGCGCTGAAAATCCGAGTTTCGGGGTACTGGTCCCTGATCTACGGTTACTGTGCGCTGTGCACCATCGTGGCCCTGCTGAAACTTTGGTGGAACATCGTGTTGAGGCCGACGGCAACCTTCCAATGGTCGATTCGTGAAACTCCCCCGGCTTGTCTGAATGACACGTCCTTGGGAACCCACTGTTATGTTAGGATCAAGGTAAGACGCGTGCACTTGGGACACTGAAAGGTGTCCGGTCCCTGTAAAAAAAGGGGGGGGGGGGGGGGGGATTGTGTGTGTGTGTGTGTGTCTCTTGCATGCTAGGATGTTCACATGTAAAATGCTACAACACCTTGCCCGCCGTGTCGCAGTCGTGCACAGACACACAGGCCTGATCTTTGAGCAGATCATCAGGCGTCTGTTTATTTTTTGAGACGTTTTTTTGTCCGCTGCGCTCAGGTGGTGCTGAAAGAAAAGCTCATCCGCCTCAACGTGCGGCGAGCTGCCAGCCACTAACAACCTTTATGTCTTCACGGTTCTGTGATTAAATACCAAGGCATGCATGTTACACACAGGAAAACAACAACTATCTGCCTGTCCGTTCTACCAGAATTATGTATCATTATCTGGGTAGGAAAGAAGCGATACAGCAATATAAACATTGAAATTCTAAGTCCTGCATCTAAAATGCAGCGGTATTACGAAGTACCAAAATTACTCACTATTCATTTATTGGTATATGACATGTTGTATTGGATTATTGTGGTATTAAAATTAAGCATTTTAAATGTCGTGGGCGGTCCAGGGTGAGCTCATTTGAATTACTGTATTCTCTGTTGGACGGTTTAACCTATAACAATGCATGATGTAACAGATAATATGCTGATGTAAAATCTTGTTTGCAAAGTAACCACTTTACTGTATATAATGCAGCCATAAGCACAATATACCCCTCTTAAATGTTGCAAAGTAGAGGAACAAAGTAGCTGGAAATGGAAATGTTCAAGCAATACCAGTACTTTAAAACAGTACATTAATGCATTGATTTGCATTCTTCTGTCTAGTGTTATTTTATCCATAACTTTAGCTCTAAGCCAAAGCTTTCGTAAGAGCAGTGAATCCTGTTTGATGTGATTCATGATTGGTACACGTTGCATGCAGATGAAGCTAAACAAGGGATGACTTGTAGAAAGTTGGCTATTTCTTTGAAGATATATGCAGGTAAAGTCGGATATAACAAGCACGGTCAAGACAAAGAAAAGAGAAAGAAAAAAAAGTCTGCCAGAGTAGCAAATAATATGTCCATGCATCACCGCATCTCCAGTGTATCGCTCCTCAGTGGACATGTCCATTCATCGTCCGGGTGATGTCCATTAAGCACGATTTAGAAAAGGTATAAGAATAAGCTCATCTCTGTTTATTGAGATCCGCTTAGTTTAGCGTGCAACAATTACATCGCACCCAAATTATCGATCAAAGCAGGCTATTTGTATGTCCGCAAACACTTAGGAGATGTCATTAAGCACCCCCCCCCCCCCACACACACACACACACAAACACATGCACAACATCACAAGGTCGTGATGTTATGTGTTCATTTAGAAGTAAATAAGCCTATTCCTGTATTGTTTTTCTGATAATGACATAATTGTCCACCCATACTTTCAATGCAGCTTCACTCAGCAATAGTCATTTAAAAATGCTGACTTGTTTCCCACTAAGTGACTACACGGCTAAGACTGGACGTCTGTGCGTATATAAAAAGTGTGTTTTCTTTGTCCACCAGGAGTCTGGCCTCAGGTTCCACTATGTTGCTGCTGGAGAGAGAGGAAAGCCACTCATGCTGTTTTTACACGGCTTCCCTGAGTTCTGGTAGGTCAAAGAAAAAGAAGAAATCAATGTGTGGGGGGGGGCAATTGCAGCAACAGTAGCAGCTCCACTCCACTCAACAGCAGCGGACAACCCCGACTGTAAGGTTACGTTTGTTCAGTTGCTTGGTGTTTGTTACATCGGTCCCCTCTCTAACAATTTCCCCCTTGACTATAATCTTTAGCTGTCACATTTCGGTTGCACTGGTAAATCTCTGCAGCATTTCTGCGAATAGTCCTCTGTCATTATTTGCCATCAGGGGTAAAAAAAAAAAAAAAAGGTCCAAAGCATTCAAGATCTCTTCCTCCTGATATGAAATGGCAGAGAGAGGGAAAATAAATGGTGTTGAGCGCTGCTCCTGGATCGAGGCCAAAGACGTTGTCAAGAGCTATAAGCCTGTCCATATCTCTAACATACTATCTAAGCTGCTGACAGGACAGGGATTAATTAACGGGAGAGGGAAGCTCTTTCTGCTTCACTTCCCGTACACTCGTCACGGGATTGATGAATTGTGCAGAGAGTGACGCGGTCGGGCAGAACTCTTTTTAACACTTTCTGAAAAAAAACGGGCTAATTCCCTCTGAGAAATGAGAAAGAGGTGCGTATGCGTGTGTCGGAGGGAGGGTGGCTGGGGTTCTGAGGGGCTTACTTTGCTTTAAACCTCATCTATATTCTAAGATCTGAGGGTACAGTGCTGGGGTCTTATACTGACTCATCAGAATCACAGTCAGGGCTCTGCATCCTGCCTCCCCTCAATGGGGGGAGGAGGAGGAGGAGGAGGAGGGGGGGGGGGATCTCAGTCTGGATGAGGAGCCTCTGCAGCAGACAAGATCTTCAATTAGAAAGTCATCCCAGTCCACATGATCAGTGGGCGGATTAGAATCTGAAACAACTTCTATTATGCTGCGGTGACTTTCTTGCTGGAAAGAAAGCTGAGTGGTTTAAAACAAAGTGTGTGCAGTTATTTTGTAACTATTTCAAAGTTGTACGATAGAGTTTAAAGGGGCACCCCACCAATTTTGCACATCACGTTTAGTTCAATCGTCACAGGGAGTACTGCTCAGTGACATGATGTCACCGGGGTTATCTGGGTTTGGGCTCAGAGACTCTTGTTTGGAGAAAAGTTGAACGAAAAGCCTGTTGGAGTTGGAAAGACATTAACCCGGAAGGAAGGAATAAATGAAAGACACTATTGAATTGCATCATGAGTGTAGGAACCAATGATTTGGGGGTTTGACCCCATTATAGAGACTAAAGGTCTGGATATCTCAACTTCTGCTGCATCGTTTTTGGCAATTCTTTCTTAATCGGTCTCTTGCATGTTCCCCAACTGCAATACAAAAGTCACTGGAGTACCCCTTTAAAATGACGAGCTGCTGTGGAAGAAGTGTGCAAGTAATTTAAATAAGTCATCTTGACATCTGTTTGTGTGCCTCAGGTTCTCCTGGCGCTACCAGCTGCGCGAGTTCAAGAGTGAATACCGCGTGGTGGCCGTCGACATGCGGGGCTACGGGGAGTCCGACCTGCCGCTTTCCGCCGAAAGTTATCGCTTCGACAACCTGGTCACCGACGTCAAGGACATCGTGGAATACTTGGGTGAGAGGACGCGGGCCAACTGTGTGCCTGCGATCTTAAAATAACTCCAGTGGACACTGCTTTGACAGCGTCTCCAGTCAAAAAATAAAGTTGTTTATCAGTCTTAAGCTGTGGGCGCTCCCTCAGGCCTGCAGCATGGCATGACAAACTTCCTGTGACTCATTCATACTGAACATGGCATGTTGTGCAGATACAGAGCCCACAGCCCCGCTGACTGCATGCTACCACTAGCAGGACAGCTATAGCCCGGGCTGTCTTCACACGCACCAGCAACCACTAATGATTATCTGGCCAGAGTGACATTTTTATACTGGCCAGCATATCACAGTTTTTGCACTGCTTACAGGATGTATGAAATAACCTGTCTTAGCATTGACATGTCATTAAAGGGGCTGATGACGGGCTAAATCAGTACTGTTTCCTCCTTCACGCCTGTCACCTCATATTCCAGTGTGGCACAGTCAGGCTACTGTTTTAGTGCTAATTACAAGAAAACTGAAATCATTTGGATGGTCATCTCTTGATTTTTGCTACCCATTCCCACTATCCTCACCCAATTATAATAAAGTTCCCCAGTTTGGAAAAACAGACAGGAGCACCAGCACGGGAGCAAAGCAGTGTACTGCTGTGGACGGAAGGGAAGCAGCTAAATGTGTTTTAGACACCTAAAAGAAAAGCCCTCCTAAAAAAAAAAAAGCTGTTATATCTATCTATGCTCTCTTCTAAGCCACCAGACTCCCTTTACAAAAACAGTGACTTCACAGCTCTAACGCTGCCTCCATCGGTCAGTTTGTTCGCGTCACTGTGTGACTTCGGTGAATCTGAACTAGCTCTTTAAAACACTAAATTTACACAATAACACAAACTAACTGATTGTCAGTGTTGGGCGAGCTATTTGGAAAGTGTAGTGAGTGAAGCTACCAGTTACTCTGCATTAAATGATGCGTACACTGACGCTCCTCCCCCGAGAAATGGCAATCTAAGCTATACAACAACATGGATCAAGGTAGTTTAATAACTACATCGAAGCAAGTTCTTTTTAACTACATTGAACCAACTTCACTCCGAGTCATTGCTATTTATGTAAAAATATATAATATAAATATATACAATCCTTAAATGATATTATAATTGATGATATAATGTAAATGAGTTTAAAACACAATATACATTATCAATGCACACTTTATTCTAAGGCTTAAAAAGCATAGGTAACTGCTTTAGTTCCGTGTTTTGCTGCTGCCTCCGTCCACAGTGGTACATTGCTATGCTCCCTATAGCTGGCACTCCTGTCTCTTTCTCCAAACTGGGGGCCGCCTACTGTAGCTAATACACTGACTGTGGATGAGTACCTCATTCAACCCCTCTTCAAAACACCCAAACTCTCTAATGGCAATATGTCAGACATTCTTCATATGTGATTTTGCTGTAATCGTACTATGTTGTTGTGGCAAATGTGCTAGCAAACAGTTGCTTCTTTACACATTCTACATGTTGCATGACATCCAGCATCGTAAGCATTTATTTGGAAGTTGTGTTGATGTCTATCTGGCACATTTAAGTCCGATGCTCAGGAGTTTGGTGCTGGGCTGGGTTTTGAGCATTGTTTCCACTACAAACAACTGGCTGTCTGAAACGGAATTGATTTAGTTTATAAAACCCCAAAAATGAGCTGAAAGACGCTAAAATGCTCCATAAAGCCGAGAGGAACTGCAGAGACGGGTGATAATTCTCTGTGGGTTCATCACTACGAGCCACACAGTCCATTGTTGTTATATATTGACTAATGCAGCTTTAAATAATGCCACAACAGTCTGTTTCACAACTTAAACCAAGTGAAGTTCCAGCCCAGAGGAACCACAATGACCTGTAAATATTCTCAAGCAACACATTTCTCATTAAATATTTCCATTCTCTGAGAAAGTGCTTTTAAGAGAGGTCTATAGTTAATGTTGTATAGCTCCTTACATTGTTCCAGCTGTCTAAAGCTAATTTCTTATCAGTGCTTTCAGGAGAGCACTCAAGAATGCATATTGCAGCCAATGAGTCCCTCAATGGTCATTTGAGTGGAAGTGGGAGGCTCGCATTGATCGCATGATAACTGCTGTACTCTGATCTGTGATTGGACTATGGGGCAATTTTTTACACCATGCTCATAGAGCCCACATGGTCCACATTACGGTCAGCTAATGGGGCTACACCAATCAGAGGTTTGGCCTTTAACCGTGCATGGCATGTAGCATTGCCCTTTTCATGGCCACAGCAACAATCGGTGCTGACAGCGAACACTAAAATGCCGGCAGCAGAAACGGCAACGGCCCTTTCCAAAAGTGGCTCCCGGACTTAGCTTGTATGACAATCCCTTGTGAAGAACATGTGATATCGATGTTGAGATGAGGCTTGCTGGTGTGATTCATACCGGTGGTTGTAAATGGCACCAGCAAAGGTACGAGGATTAGTTTGTAGTCATTGGAACAGTAATGTGATCAGAATCCCCTCAGACTGATGCCCTGACCTTGATCTGCATTTGGCTGTATGTCATGAAATACATCCATTTGATGGGTGTAAATGTCCTCTGAGGGAGGCAGCCATCAATAAAGAAGTGAGAGCAGTATTGATTTCCAGGCACTGACATGCCTTTAATGCCCTTCTGCTATAATACCTTATGTTTGTTTGCTTTGCTTCCAAGGATACAACAGATGTTGCCTTGTTGGCCACGACTGGGGTGGGACCGTAGCGTGGCTGTTCGCCATTCACTACCCAGAGATGGTGACGAAACTCATCGTCCTGAACAGCCCCCATCCTTCTGTGTTCACAGGTATGACTTTGACAATATGCAAACGAACGGATCCCCAGATAGCATTCTTTATGTTGTGAAAGAAAACCAATGTTCTTCATGCTAATTGGAGAGACTCTGGTTTGGCTTTTGGATTATTACTGTAATTATTATTATGATTAATTAGGAAGTATCATTACTCCAGCTCCGTGTTCGCATCCATCTGGCAAATGCACATCTGCCTTCGGGGGAAGTTGATGAGAAGCTAATTACAGGAGGCTAATGGGAAGCCGGAACAGCTGGTTAAACCGAAAAGTCGTTGAGAGTTATCGCGCCCACGACCCCGCAGCCAGCGTGCGCAAACCCGGCCTTGAATTACCGTCGTGAAATGGCTGAACTTCTCTCCTCTCCTCCAGATTACGCTCTGCGTCACCCGAGCCAGCTGCTGAAATCCAGCCACTTCTTCTTCTTCCAGCTGCCCCGCTTCCCGGAGCTCATGCTCTCCATCAACGATTTCAAGGTGGGCTGTTGTGTGTGGGCTTAAGCGCATTCAAGGTCAAGGTTTTCTGTGTGTGTGTGTGTGTGTGTGTGTGTGTGTGTGTCTCGGTAGATGCATATTGCTGGAATACAACAAGCCACACATGATGCAGCTTTAGGCTAAACTTAATTGTTGTTTGCATTAAAGTTTGCCCCGAATTTAGTCTTGTTATTCACAGTAATTAAACTTAATCCTCAGTTTTGTTAACATGTGCACAGTGCAGGTTTACCAGACAGTTTGGGGTTTTAGAAATGCAGAGTTTATGTTTTAGTTCAATGTTATTTGTTGTTTTGACATTTTTCAACATGCTTATACTTCCTTCCATGCCGAGAGTTAGATGATACCACTATATGATTATGATATGTGGTTAAATCGATACCACTCTCACGTGTAAACCTAAAGCTAGCTCCCGGGAGCTCCTTAGCTTAGCATGAAGACCTGAAGCAGGGGGAAACGACCAATGAACACGTTATATTTCATTTGTTTATGCAAACCATTTCATTGTCTTAAATCTAAAAGATTTGCATGACCTTTTAAATTGAATCTAATGTTCAAAGTGTTGACGTAGTTTAGATATTTGCATATTAAATGTACTATTGGATGATGTTTGTGTGTGCCTGTGCTGGATTTTTCAGAGGTAAACACACAGCATGTAATGTTGTGGAGCCAGCAGTATAAAACCAGAGTGCCGGAGCTGCAACCAAAGGTCACGAGGACCGATTTCACCGCTGAAGCACCTTTCCTGACTCGGCTGTAAATGTTTTCTCGATCAAACAGTACCAGTCACATGAATTCACCCTGGTGCTTTTTGCCATCTCTGCTCTAGGCTCTGAAGGCCTTGTTCACCAGCCGCAACACGGGGATCGGAAGGAAAGGCCGATGGCTCACCGCCGAGGACTTGGAGGCCTATCTGTATGCACTCTCACAGCCGGGAGCTCTGACCGGAGCCCTCAACTATTACAGGAATGTCTTCAGGTGGGGGATACTTTACTCACCAAAACATGGAGCCCGTCAAAGGCTGTTTTGTCCGGACGTTTTTTTACAAAGATATGGAGGAAGCATTCCGATCTTCATTGCGGTCAGAGCGCTGAAGTGGCAGAACACAAGGCCGCAATGCTCAAATATCATTTACACACATCGTACAGTGGATCAAAGAAAAATATCAGTGCATGTATTTTGGACATGTGAACTGCACATGCATGGCTGAGCGCGCCATCTGCTCCCTTCTCAAGCAATGAGTTATCTCAGAATAGCTTTTATGTGCTTATGTAAAAGAGATTTCAATGACCCATGGCCAATTAGTCTCTCCACCAGCGCATATTCTGTACCGAAAGCGCTAGGGACACAAATACGTGAACACACAGCAACATCTATCCGTACATTTTATATGTGCTTTTCTTACTGTGACATGTCAAAATGTCTTTATTAAAAAAAGACTTCAGAACAACTTAAAAAGTGTCATTTGTCAACGTCATGAATTTAAATATTTACCTAAATTGTAGATATTGACTTTACTGTCCATAATTACTTTTTTTTCATTTTAAGATACATTTTCCCTTTTAAAATCTTTCATGAAAGAACCTTTTGGATGCATGCAGGTTTGTTCTTCTTCTCTTTCCTCTCCTCAGCTCCCTCCCCCTGGCTCAGAATCATGTCAGGTCTCCGGTACTGCTGCTGTGGGGCGAGCGGGACGCCTTCTTGGAGCAGGAAATGGCCGAGGCATGCCGCCTGTACATCCGGAATCACTTCCGTCTCAACATCATTTCTGGGGCCAGTCACTGGCTGCAGCAGGACCAGCCGGATATTGTGAACACCCTCATATGGACCTTCCTCAAGGAGGGAGAGGGACGCAAAAGCTACAGGAACTAAATCCACAGCCAGGCCTCCTCCAGCATCCCCCCCCCCCCCTCCACGCTTGCCACACCCGGAAGCCTGGAATATGCCTGCGACATAGTGAAAATGCAATCATTCTTTAAATCTCTCACATTTCAAATATTTTTTTAAAAGAAGTCTGCAGTAGAGGAAAGAATCAAAGCACACTTCACTGGAGAGGACACTGAGCAGCATGTGTGACACATATTCAAGAGGTTTTTTGCACATGACACCCGCCTTAAAGTTCGTCGGTTACAGCATTACAAAATGTGTGGCAAAATCTCCTTGTGACTTGTGTTGTGTGGTGCCTTTTTAACTTTTCGAGTTGTCGCCGTTGTAAAGATGTCCTGAGAGACCGGGATGCGGTGTCGTCCTGCTATACTTGTGCGCTTGGCCGGGTCGCTCCACTCTTCTTCGGGCACAGACCTTTGGGAGCCGTGACCCTCCCTCTCCCTTTATCAGGTCGTGTTGTCTGGAGGAGTTTTCTTTTTTGTATTTTGTGTTTCCTCAGAGATACTCAAATGTAGAGAATGTTGTTACCTTGATCTTCCTGTATAGAAATGTGGTTGACTATTGTACTCTTTTTGTATCTATTCCTACACACTGCATTTTGAAATTCACTGAGCTGAGTCTACACCATTTGATTTTATAAATAAACTAAGTGTCAATCTGTTGGACCACACTACTTTTTTTTTTTTTAAGGTGATAACAGCGGTGTGTTTGAAGCTGTGCGGCGTGCCCTAATGTCCCCATGTGTTTGCTGCCGTCTCTGAACTGTCACGCCGAGCTTTTACGCAGAACAGATGAAAAAGACCAGAAATAGTAATGGACGTGCTGTTAAATATAGAACAGACCTGAGTGATACGGCAGTTATTTTGGGTCTCCTCAGTAGAACAAACATTTAGATGTTTTTTGTTTTTTTTAGATTCATATTCCCTCTCGACGTGGTTTCATGCCAACAGAATTGTTGATGTGGAATTACATTGAGGTGCGTATTCATCAGTCTTACATAAACAGGTTTTTTTAGTGCTGTGTCTGCACACAACAGCACACACACACACGGATACTGCTGAGCTTTTTAGAGAAGAGATCATTCAGGCAATGCATGATTGTCTGTTTCAAACCAGCAGAAACAATATAAACCAGTCTAGATTGTTTTCCTTATTAGCGGCTTATTCTATGATTTACAAAGCTTTAGTGAATTAACTATTAATGGACCCATTCGTTTCAAGTATGCCTTAGGAAAGTTGTAAAATCAATATTGCACCAAATCACTCTGCAGTAGATCTCACTGTCCAATCAGATTTGATTTCTGTGTTAATGCTGATTCAAACATTTGCAGTTACATTTGCACTGAAATCAGAGGTTAAGAGCAATGATGCAGGAGAGGCCAATGAGGGGCAAGCTCTTTTGTTGCCTTCATCGGCAGTCGGAAATATTGTTACCAGCACATATTTTTCAGGTCAGTATTTTACCTTTTTTAAGAGAAGAACATATGAATATCATACAGATTGGAGCGGATACATTATTTCCTCTTTATAAGCATCATTATCATTAGCTTTTTTAATGGGATGTTTGTCTGTTTTGTTACATTCAAAAATACATGAATGAGAGAAATGTAAGCTTGTGGACACTGTTTTTATTAAACGATTTTGCTATTATAGTCTACTATAAAGTTGTCTATTTACAGTGTAGCTTTTAGACAACAACAAAATATCATTGAAAAAATGCACCGAGCTGAATGAAATATTAACTGCAAAAATAGGCCTACTGATCAATTCAGATCTGAGTGGCATTGCTGCCCTGATTCTACGATGTAGTCTTAGTTAGAACGTGAGGTGTTCTATGAGATAAGTCGGATACATCACACAACCTTCTCATTATCACCGGGCAGACCAGAGACGTTCATTATGAAATACTGTTTAGAATTTCGATGTTAGTTGCAGTACCTCAACGCATCATTTGAGTCCACATGGGCACGGCACCGCCCTATTTTATACTGCGCATGTGCCGTAGCTTCCGGGTGTGACGACTTGTCCACTCCTCCTGCGTTTTGTGAGTCCCGTCCTAGCGGGTGGCGAACAGCGTGCAGCGGCGATGTCAACAACATCGGTCAGTGGGTCAGCCCGTCAATGAAGATACTCAAGCTCGTTACGGAACCTCACACCTAAGGACTGACATTTGATACAATTCATTTCTACCGGTCCATTTATGTCAGCAGGCATTCAGGGGTTAAGGGTCAAGAAAATAACTAACTAGTGTTACTAGCGGTAACGTTAGCCCATGTTAGCTAGCGCTAGCATGCTAGCTACGAGAGGAAAATGAGAGTGATGTTACTCAGCTCACAGCACAGAACGAGTCGGGCAGAGAGCAAGAACAATACACGTGTAAGCAGAGGTGACGTTATGTTTGTACGAGTGTGGCTGAGGGTGTTTTATTGTGTAATAAATTAAACTAATAGGAAAATAGAGGGAAGCTGGTCAGTCTTGGTGATGTCAGTGTTTTCCTGGAAGATAAGGAGAAGCTGGTTTTCTAATTAAGCTATTATTCTCGTTTTATTCGTAACGTTAACGTTACTGTTAAATCGTTTTATTGGACACATAATATTAACTGAATTCGTGTCGGGTTTGCGAGGTCATCACTTTCCATTTCAAGTGATTTTCTTGAAATCGGTAAACAGCGCCTCTCTGGGTTGTACTGCTGGTGAACGTGAGTCAGTGTGTCTGGTGAGAGATTGTGTTGCACTCCTCACAGCAGAGCCAATCAGCTCGTGTGACCTCAGGGAGTCGGGTCAAGCTGACCTCATATGATTCAAAAATATAAAAGCCTTAAATTGCATCATATGTGGCTTGTTATATTCCAGCAGTGTCTGTTTTGTTTTTCCTTTTCATGCCGCTGGGATGTATTCCTGCTACTCTTTGAGTTCACATGTGTCCATCTTGTCTCTGTCTCAGAGAACCCAGTGAACCATGATCACCACAGAGGCTGCCAGAGAGTTCCAGGCCAAAGAGCGCAGACACAAAGAGCAGCTGAGGAGATGTTTATCATCTGCTTTATCTGCAGACCTTGACAGGTAAGGCGTGTGACGGTACGCACTCGACTGCAAAAGCACGGTTTAAAAAATTGATCATTGGCAAATGTCAATTTAAAAAAAAAAAAAAAAAAAGAGTTTTCCCACTGTGGTCAAAGCAACGCAGGGCTGTGAAATATAAAAAACTCAGATTTCATCTGGAGCCTGTGAATGGCCTGCCATCATCCATTCAGTAGCACTGAACTGGTATAAAGACCAGCTGGTTCATCCAGTGTGATCAGGATCATTGCTGTCATATAAAAGAAGTTTGACACAAAAATCTTTACTCAATTACCACTTTTAAGTTTTTAAAGGGGCGATTCACCAATTTGAGTCATTAAGTGTAGTTTACTTGACACAAAGTGTAGTTGCTTTTAAAGCGGTTCTCTTGTGTGGCTCGAGAGGCGCTTTACACAGTTAGAAAAACAACCCTGATGATGTCATTGGGGGGATCTCAGCCTTTACTTAAGACATAAAATCTTTTTCTAAAATCAGACGGGAACGTCTAATGATTTCGTTGCAATCTCGCTGTGTTTTTATCAGCTACGGATGGGCCCTTCATATCTCCATAGGGAGGAGTCCTCTTCATGGAAATGTGTTGCACTGCTTTCTTTTTTACTTTTTTAGACCAGTGCGAACAAACCAAACATTGGCTCTACAGAAAGACTTTTGCTTCTTTTTTTTTTATGTTACCTGAAATCCACCGTATTTCTCCGACGTGATTGTGAAACCGCGGTAACGTGAGCCGCAGTGTGACAAACCGTGGTACCGCCAGCCGCCGTCAGAGTCCGTTGCTCCTTAAATCGTGTCATTATGGTGAGGATGGTCTCTGAGTGAGGCGAGTGGCATTACCGGGGCTTTGCACTCTGTGGCTCATGTTACCACAGTCTTGAAAAGGTATGCAACCCCACCGCTAGATGCAATCAAATTGTCAACACTGTCAAAGAGCATGATCCTTTAGAGGCAAAGAGTCAGGATATCCCGGCCTCTGCTGCTGCTTTAATCTGTGTAATCCCTCTCTTGTGAGTCCTCTAACTTTATTAAAGTACAATACAAACACAGATCTCAAAGGATGGAGTTTCCTTAGTTGTCATAGAAATTACTTTTTTACATTTTAAAATACCCTTACTTCTTTTTATTGCTTTAAATACAAATTTATATTATGTGAACTTGTGCTGAGAAAGACTGCGAGGTGTAGTTGAAAACGTGAAGTAAGCTTTAAGTAAGGACTGTGACTTCAGATTATTTTTGTTAAACTGCTTTCAAATGTCAGGAATCCTGTAGAAAACTGCAGAAGAGTTGAAAAATACCGTACACACACATTTGACAGCAAATAAACATATCAATTCACTAACTGGGTGAAATGAGACAAATCCGTTCAGGTTTCAATTATGTGCAATAATCAGGTGAAATACTGCTCTTAAGTCTCAAAATACATCCTAGAATTTAGAAAATGTAAGATACTTTTGTTACATATTAGTATAGACAAGAGCAGGGGTTTCCCCTCAGCTAACAGGATCAGTGGATCTGGAATATAAAACCTGGCGCAGAGCAACATCACAGTAAACCTCACAGATGACTCACCAGAAACAAGCTCACGGGGATCTTTGCAGCAGTTTTATTGGGTTTTAGTTGACAGGGATGTGAGTCTGCTTGTTGCACTAATTCTGGCACTTTTCATCAGAGGTTTACAGTAATGGACATCGCATCACGCAAATTGAATCTCATACCGCCCCGTTGGCCTTTAGCGGACTGGTTTCTGGGTCACCCAGATCAGTCATAGAGGCGGGACGAGAGATAATGATGGAGAAGAAGAAGCAGACCGCCTCAGGACTGTGCTCGTGGTGGTCTGAAGTGGAGAAATAGGCCTCGTAGATGTTAGAGGTTGGATAAGAAGCTCTTTGTTTCTATGTTGGCTTTTAAATGTACGTTAAATACCCAATCCAGCATCTCAGGCTATGCAGCAGGCGTTTCCAGTACTGGTATCGCTATCACAACAACTTCTATTTATTGTGTACATTTGGCCAAATTGGCTCCAAACATAGTTTGTGTTGTATTGTTTTTTCTCTAGTCAATGACAATGATTCCCACTGATGGTGGGCATGTATGCTTTTTTCCCTTTAATCAGTTAGTGAAAGAGAATTTTGAGGACATTGCTCCCTAATAAAGTGTTTTAATGCATTTCCCCAGGTTGCTGCAGGAGGAGCTGGAGGCGGATGTCTCTCTGTACGCTGGGTCCGGCTCGCTTCAGGCTCACAGAGCCGTGCTCTTGGCCAGAGCTCCTCATGTCCTTCAGGGACAGACACACAAAGGCCCCTCCGCTGTCCATCTGTCCGGCTATGAGCTGTCCGGGTTGAAGGATTTCCTCAGGTAGGCCGTGGGGGAGGGGGTCAAATGTTAAATAAAGCTTATAGTTGCTGTTTCTTTTTCCGCCTTGGGCTTTTAGACGATTTATATTTGCCCCTGTAGAAAAAAAAGAATACCGCTGAATAGTTTCACGTGAAGCAACATCTCTACATGTGTTCTCTAGTCGGGCCGTGTGGAGACAGCATTTATCCCTCTCTTGTGGTGTTACAGTTTCACAGACTCTCTGACAGAGGGCGCCATGCGCTCCGTCCTTAATCTGCAGGATCTGCTGCTGTTTGCAACGGGCATCACAAACTCTGCAGCCATCCTATAATGCGTCTCGTTTTCATGTCGGTGTTGAGTCGCACGCATCCTGAAGTGTATCGTTGTTTACAATCATCTGTAAATTGCTAGCTGAGCCGTTTTGCAGAGCGGCCCCTCAGAGTCTCGTTAGCAGTTTATAATCGGGACAAGAAGAAAGAGTCGTCGTGTTTGGTCTCACTATCATGAGTCTAGAGTGATCAGAGCTCCTTTTACACCAAAGTTCAGGTTTCCATGTAATATATCATATTTATGCATTCACAGGTATCTTATTAAAATGATTTGTTTCGTTAGATCCTTTTTTCATGAATCAGTTCGACAATCACCAGAATATTGATTTGAAACTATTCTGACAATAAGTTATTTGTTTGAGTGTCCTTGCTGCTGGTGATCTGATTAATTCTGCTCTTCTGTGTTTTATATGCATTGAATATCTTCTTGGACTGTTGGTCGGACCAAACACGCAATCTGAATCCACTTGTGCTGTGGAGAATTGACAAAATGATTGATCCATTATTCAAATAAAACAGAATCCACAGATTAATTAATGATGATATTTTAATCCTGGAGTTTGCCTCTAAATTTAATAAAGCAGCTAGTAACGATTCCAGTCAGATTTGGCACCGATATCAATTTCCGGTGCCAGATTTATATGGCAGAACATGCCGGGATGCTACGGCATATTTCAGAAGTACTCGTGGCAAATCTACTGTTACAGTTCGTTAGTAACTTTAGAGGATTGCTGGTCACTTTATGAAACGCTTCACTGAGGTTAAATAGAAAATCCTGCTCAGCCTGTGTGTGTCACTGAAGTCACATTGCATCACATGAGACTGTAACTCAAATAAGTGTGAAGGCCTAGTTTTAATTAACCTTTAGTTCCCGCCCTCTGCAGGCGCCTGTACACAGCAGACCAGAGCACGTGCTCGTCTGAAATAATCCCAGGCATGGAGGGCTCGGCACCACAAAGTACCTCGCCTGTCCCTGACCCGGCGGACCTTCATAGTTCCTATGACTCAGGTAAACAGACGAACAGTGTTTTCCACAGAGGGTTTATTCTGGGTTATGTGGCCCCTCCCTCCCCCTCTTCACATCATGTTATCTCAGCGGTAATCCATTTAGGAGCTAATCTCATTTGGATCCCTGTTGCCGCTACCGCTAATTGCAGCATGGCCACACTATGGACACTTTTAAACCCTTTTGGTCACTTTTTGCCGTACTTTTAGTGGTTTAGTGAGAGCTACCGCTGCTTTGTCACACACACAAATACCTGTGCCCCCCCCGCCCTTCCTCATGATCCATCTCAACTTCCCTCCAGACGCTGCTCTTGAGCCGGCCTCGGGCCTCGGAGCTGACTTGCTGGATCTGTACCAGAGGGGGGAGCAGTGTGACATCACCATCCAGGTAGCGGAGCAGGTCTTCTGCTGCCACAGGTAGAGCTTCTTCTGGTGGCCTGTCAGCCTTTTTCATTCGTCTGGTCATCATCATAGGCTGCAGGCATGGTGAGAGCACGCTCACGTTGGCACATCACGTCCACGAGATGTAGAACACCACAGAGGTCGCACATCTGCTGTTAACACTCAGCGCTGGGTGGTCACTCAGCGATGCAGAGGTGGTACCAGCAGCTGGTAACCATGGAGACAGGTTTCTCCCAGCTCGTGCTCAGGGGAGCAGCCAGCGAGAGAGAGCTTGTCAGAGAGAGGAAGCTGGGCTATTCTTTTTGGTTGCTCTGCAGCAGTGATCTCTTGAACGGCAAAGTGTGAGGCGCTGCACCCGGAGACTGAATCAGGGCTTCTGCAGCCTTTTTGCTCAAATAGGAATTTCTAATAATACAAATACAAATAAAAACCTAGTCTGGGTTTGTCGAATAAATCTCACCTCTCACTGCGCTCAACATTGATTCATTCCACTTACTAAGAAAGGAATATATCAGCTGCACATCATAGAAAGTAGAGCATGGCAAAGAATTGAATATGATTTATTATGGCTTCATGTGGTTATAATGTTGAGGTGTCCTTTGAATGTTGGTCAATGTTAAATGAATGTTGGGCATTACACATTATTCTTGAATATGTTTCTCATAGCTCTGATATTGATACCTAGATGAAGTTCTTCTGTATGGATACAAGTTATTGGTGTGAACTTAAGATCGCATCATGTGGGTTTGTCAGTATTGCCTCGGGCTGATCTACCATGTAGTTAACTATTCCTCAGTTTCACTTCCACGGTCTATAACACAATCTTGATGTAACAAATGACACATACTGTGATAAAGAATTGTATCCGTATTATAAACTCCTTTTATGAAGTCACACGGTGTTACACCCGGCAGTAAAACAGGATCAGCAGTTAACAAGTTATGCTGGAAGAATTCATGTGTGAACAGAGAGGGGTCCAACTGACTTCCATTACACTGTCATGTATTTAAAGATTAAAATGCTGACATTATTCTGCATATTATTCTACGTAACAGCAACGATATGTTTGTGGCTCTCACAGTACTTTATGATTATATCTACCCTGTTTGTGGCTCTCAGCCTGGAGCCCTTTGGTTCCTACTGAACACTTGACGGTGGAGTCAGCGATTCTAACCCAGTAGACTGTGTGTATGCTTCAAATTAATTTTTTATTCATACACAGCACTGGCTCTGTAAAAGGGAAACAAACGGACCGAGCCACACACAACTGTTCCAGCCGAGACAGGGGAAAGTAGAAGGATGTATCAAGAGAAAGTCATTCTCCACCTTTACATGTACACTTACAAAAGGGCACAAACATATCGTGTAAGTTAAGTCGTTTCCTAAAACAGATGGGCACCGTCATTTCTAGCAAACTTAACTCAGACAGGAGGACGTAGTGCATATGCTGGGGGCTATAATCAGCTGCAGTAAGTGTTTCTGGCAGCAGGACAGTGTTTGTGTTGAGCAACAGTGTCATATTTATGTCACCCTGTGCTTCGGTTCAACGGCTCATTGAGTGTGTAATAGCTTCCGGAGCTCCAGAGCAATAAGATGCCTCATGCTTTGATACACACGCAGTGCTTGTTAGAGGGATCAATTTTGGTTTTCATGTGATTTAGAATATCAGCAGCCTTATTCTTTATTGAAGCTAATTAAGTACTATATTTCCATATCTGACAGTACAATCTTCAGAAAATACACCGTCTCCAGAGACCACAGAACACGCACTATATTTTTGTCACTTCAAAGCCACTTAAGCACACACAGGCTTAAGTGATGACATGTGAAATATTAAAACGGTGGGCGGATCTGACATGCTTTGATGGGTTTCTAGGGCGATCCTGTGTGCGCGGTCCCAGTACTTCCGAGCCATGCTGAGTGAGAGTTGGATGGAGAGCTCCAGACAGTGCATCACTCTGCACGGGTAAGACTGCCGTGTCAGTATCGTCGTGCAGCCGGTCACATGGATCGATAATAACACCTCCGCTCTTGGTTCGAGCGGGGCTACATTTCATTCCTGAACGACACGGCTGAATTACTGCATGTGCCGCATTCATTATTCAGGCCCCGCTACAGAGGTGGCTCCGTACAGTATGGGGGCGGGGGGGGGGTTTCACTCACTCTCAATGCCATGTTTGAACTCCACACAGCCACCCACTGCCGGAGGAATTGCAAATGGCTCGCTTTGATTCTCTACCAAGCAAGGTTGCAACGTTGCCTGTGCGAGGCACATAAACGTCTTCTCATCCACTGCCTGCTGAAGAGCCCCCCCCCCCCCCCCCCGACCTCTCACCACTGGTCTCGCAGTCTCTCTTCACAGCGGGGGAAAGGCAAATGAGGCCCCTTTTTTTTTCCTCCAGGGAGAGACGTGTCACCCGCCTCAGCATTACTGATCTGAGGGTAACGGGGGAAGACTCGGCTGTCAGAGTGAGGAGCCGCTGCGTTGACGTGCGAGGCGAGGCGAGGCGGGGCGGGGGGGGGGGGGGGGGGATCCTGTGAAGTGGACCTCGGGCTGCAGTCACATAGCTCGAGTGCTGCATGATATATGGGCTTTGTTTACAGCATCCTCAGTCGTGTTTCCAGTACAGACAATAAAACACTGTGTGCCTGGATTCACCGAGATAACATTAGACTGTGTTCGGGGACAATTCTGTATGTTAACACGAGGAATATGACTTGTAAACTTATCATTTTGTTAACCGTTCCAGTTTAGGGCCAGATGAGATGGAGATCCTGCTCCAGTTCATGTATGGGGCCATCGTGGATCTGCCACCTGGAGCCAGTGCCAGGTGCTGTATTTGAGCAGACTGTCCATAATTTGAATACAGGGCCATAGAATACAACCTGATCTGTATTTGGTGTCTCCTGTCCCATAGTCAGGTGGTGCTGGCAGCAGACATGTTGGGTTTAGAGGGACTGAAAGATGTGGTGGAGATGGTTCTGACCCGGGACTACTGCCGCTTCTTCCCCAAGGTCAGCTATACATCAGGAGTACTAGTGAATATGAGAGGAGAAACGAGGGATTTCATAGGTTTATTATTACTATGTGTCCGGTAGGTACACGTGTACCTAAACACAAACATGAATAATATTAGGCTTGATATGCCACCATAGCATGATGGCATGTAACCAGATGAAAGGATTTCAGGCCTCCGTGAACAACGCTCTTACACATCACAGCAGCGTGTTTCCTGTGCTCTGGGAAATCTGTTGAATGTACTGAGTTTGTGAAGCGAGAACCGGTTCATTCCACACTACTTGAAATTTGGGCCAATACCGACCTCATTAAGTGGATCGGGTATCTGCCATGATTTGAGTGGTCCAGTTCTTCTTTGTTTGTCAAAGCCATTAACAAAAAAATTCAGTTCCATTCATTTAATCACGGCGGGCCACAGAATTAGTTTTGTTGCACCACAATAATCCCTGGCCTCAAGTTACCTTACATACGAGTTATTCCAATGAGTTAGTGAGGTCTAGTGAAGGAGAGCACTAGAGTTTAGGTACGACAACCAGTATCGGGAGAGAAAAAGTTGGATCAATGCACCCCGACTTGAAAGGCTGACCTTCAGTCAGCTGTCAATAGAGAGTGCTTGATGTGATCCACACAGCATGCACTCTGAATGCAAAGTGTCATCATCACACCTCATCACGTTACTGATTCTAAATGATAGTTAGACTTTTTCTACTTCTAATATTTCTCTTCTCTATAATCTTATCATCGTACATCAGAGCTCTTCAGTGCAGTGATCCCTTTGTAGTCCAGAACAACAGTGACACAGCAGTATGTGGAGTATCACAGCTGAAGACACGGAGAACAAATCCCTTCTTCATTGCTTTGGCTTTACACTCGTTGCTTTCACATGGCGCCTGCATGCTCGGTGTCAATAGTGATGCTGTTTTCTCTTCTCGGCAGCCAATCGACGGGGTTCAGAAAACGGTTCTGGAGTGTCTGTCGCTCACGCACGCCTTAGGCCTTCAGAACCTCCACACGCTGTGTAAGAGGTGAGTGTGTCTGTGGTTGCTTTCCTAGAAATGTGTTACAGATGGAAAATGATGTACGTAAACATTTGGAAAAGTCACTACGCTTTTATTAATGCTCCCGAAATTTGATTCTTTTGTCAAACTTGACCTTAAAAGTTGCTTGTGTAATATGAAATCCAGGGCGACACGTTAACCTGTCACCGTTCTCACCGCTGGTTACATCAGCATCTTGTTGCTAGGTAACCAGCATGTGGGTTCATACTTCTGTGTTATTAAGTCGCTCGGGGTTAGTTGTGTAATGCAATTTGCATTAATGTGATTCAATGCACCGCTCTGCTGAGCAAAAACATATCAATATTTGTGATTCTCAAAATGAATTACTCTAAGAAAAATCTGCATAAATTTCTCACACGTCTTGATTGATTTGTGTTGTTTTATCTGAGCTGTGTTTAAGTGAAGTGAATCAGAGTTAAAGGCATCTGTAAAGGTTGCTGTCCAGGAAACAATACTTCATAGACACTAGTGTGCTGCGTTATAACGTGAGATATAACTGGAAACCTGTGTGCTGTCATGTCTTTATATTTCCTTCCGATGCATTTGTGTGCGCACAAACTGAGAACATTTCCTTTAGAGTTCTCCTGCAGCTGATTCTTCTGCAGGCAAACCATGCTCCTGCTCTTTGGTGGTGGTTGGGGGGGGGGGGGGTTTGTCTCTGATGAGTCATGCGAGTGTGACGGTGAATGGAAGCTGCGCTGCTCTGTGCAGCAGTGCGTTACTGAGCTTCTCATCCTCACTCACTACATTTAGACTCCGTGAGTTCCTTTTGACTGATTAAGGTGGAAAAAGTCAAATTGCCCAGAAACCAAACGCTCCTGTTACAGAGACCCAAAGGCAATCATCTACAGATACTCTCCACGATGTGTGTGTTTCCAGGTGGGTCGCTGATCACTATGTGAAGACCTGGTGCGAGAGGAACTTCTCCCTCTTGTCCCCGGAGCTCCACGGAGCCTGTCTAACGGCGGTAACTGAGACCATGGTGAGTTCCTCCCCCCGGAGTCATCAGCAGGACTGTGATCATGTAATTGCACAAATATCATCAACCCGTTCTCCAGAGTTGTTTTTTCCACAGGAAGGAACTTCAAACATAATCCAATCAAACATGACCTTTTATTAAATTGTCAGTTATTAAAGACAGACTCATTTAGAAATACGACGTGGATGTAGAGTGATCCAGCCTTGTAATTGGTAATTGAATCTCGAGTCTGTCTTTCATCACTATCAAAGAGTCGGGGTGCACTCTGTGAGTAAAGCAAGACAAATGTACTATTGTTCGCTCTTGGCAAGTATTAAGATTCAGAGCTGGCCAAGAACCATTACGCATTTCTGGGACTCCCTCCACCGATCAATAGGTCCCGGGCAGAGATAAGAGAGTGCTTTGATATCGGGCTGTGTTCATTTGACTTTATTCTGTGCTTTGCACCTCTGCCAGAGTTTCTTTAGCTAATAGACGTTTACATTTAGACTGTGCAGAATGCGGTGACCATGCTCTGTGGCACCGAGCAGTTGATTGGCAGCCTCCCGGAAGTCAAGTGGGCCCAAAAGGTGAGGAGTCTCGCCACAGAGCTCCAGGAGGAGAGCCTGCATGTCATCGTCCAGCATCTCCCCAGAGTCATCCACACTCAGGCCTTCCAGGACCTCTGCAGGGTAAGGCGGCGGTGCAGTCCTGCTAATGCACTCTGCTTTTTCTGTGACGACCTGGGGACGGATGGGGCTTTGGTTTCTACGGGGGTTTTTTTCAGTGTGTGTTACCTTCCATTACAGAGGGAAGAGTTTACCCGTGAGCCCACGTTGTTGAAGAAGCTGTGTTCGGCCATCAGAGAAGGTGTGGCTGTCGACAACTGCTGTGATCTTTTCGCTGCTGTGCACTATCTGTGTGGAGATGACATGGAAGAGGACGGGGGGCAAAAACAAGAGGAGGTGAAATGAAGCACATTCTCTGTACTGAACCAGTTGTCTTTTCAAATCAGACATCCCACTCTGACTAATGTGCTGTGCTCACATCTGAACTGTGTAGTCCTGGTCCCATTTAGTCCCGTTCATTTAAGACCAGTGAGAACAGAGTCGATGTAGCCTGAATTCTGACCAAACAAGTGCACTAAAACTGCCCGAAAAGGTGACATGTGGTCTGATTCTAAGCAAACTCAATATTCACTTACTAGCTTTTGCCAGAGCTTTCAACTGCTGCTAATGATCTTCCTGAAGGATTCGATTAGTTTGGACAAAGTAACTCCAACTATCTGACTTGAGTCGGAGATTAGAGCGTTTGATTCAACAATGGTGGGATTCCCAGAGAAGACTGTAAGATGCTGTTGGAACCTCTGTAAAAAGCTAGTAATTGTACCTTGAGATGCGTTGTTTTTTTGTGTCCATCCTCGTGAACGTGATATCTCTGGAATGCCTGGAGGGATGATAAATCTAATCCATGAGGAAATACATGTCTCAGTGCGTTGCTTTATTGACCAGGAAGCGGAGTTGTCCTGCTTGTGGAGCTGTGTCGGCAGTGCTCACATGTAGCAGTATGAATTAGGCGCTAGCTGCTAACGCCTGGAGGATCCCTGCCGGCCTTATCCTCTGTTACGGCTAATGCAGCTGCAGCCTTGGCCTCTCTATGCTGCATTTCCTCGGCCGTGCCCAATTAAATACAGCTGAATATCTGAGTTACCCAAAACACGGGAACATGTATCCGCGTCCTCTGCACTCATATTTTCGGGGTGTCATTTTCTCAGTTGGAGATGTATCTAGTTTGCAATACAAGCAAACAGAACTGTTTTTGAGTAGCATTTAGAGCACGCCACCTGGCTACACAGATCCAAGCTGAAGTAGTTTGTAGTTCTTCCTTTCATCCAACTACGTCACTGTTGCGTCACATGACGGCGCTGGATGCAGGAAGGACAACAGATCTCATCCTGCTGGGTCAGTATAGGGGGCACTGAGGAATTTCTTGCTTCAATTGAATACATTTACCATAGACACTGATTGGACAGCCACATAGAAGGTGGTGAGTTTCCCTTTGTTGGTTGTAAGTCAATTTGAACCCTCAACAGACTAGTATTCAATGGAGAAAGTGCTTTTTCTACAGGTGTGAACACAGCTTTACCTTTCTGCTCTGAAGTGTTTGCTCTCTCTCCTTCCACTAGACTTACTCGACCATCCTTTCTAACAACGATCGTGTTTTTTCATCTTCATCATCGCAATATGCTTTACTTCATTCTGGATACAGCTTTGGAAGAGCAAACTCCACATTTACTTGGCATTTCAGACCAAAGCAAGGACTTTTGGGTAAATATGTGTTCATGGTTGGTCTGAATGGGTCGGCATGAGTTGTCCAACATGACTTTGCAGCGCTGCTCCTAACCAGGATGTGAAATGGGTCTGACGCTGCTCTGCTTTGGTACGAAGAAGGGTGGAGAAGGGCTTCTATGATGGTGGTTTTGGGGCTTTCAGCCATACATTCATTTGCTCTCCAGTCGAGGTCTAAAACTCCACAGGTTACCTTTAACAACACACGACACAGAGGATGCAGCCAGTGAGTCTCAAGAACATCATCACAAGTTTCATCCCAATTTTGACCTGTAGCAGTTTCGGTTATTTAGAACTAGAAATGTTTTTGATTATAGCACGTTTGTTTGTTTCAATGCCGGAGGGCATCACTTCTCCAAGCCGCCAACTCCATCCTTCACCTGTGACGTCTTTAAATATAGATGGAAGCCGACTATAGCTATGAGTTGATGCATCAACAAGTATTGAAATGGTGGCCTGTGGAAGTTAAGCATGAAATCACGATGATACATTCGAAAGTCTCAAACTGTAAGCTTTGTTAATATCGGTGAGAATAATTTTAAATGGTGTCTGTCAAACAGTTAAGAGATTAAAGACGAACAAAGCAGACGGGTTAATCCTGTGAGCCGACTTCCAGGAGAAAGGGACCTGGCTGCACAAGTTAGAGCACATAACCCCTGTAACCACCGTACAGTACGGCAGAATGGATTAGGCTGAGGGAGACTGTGACGTGTGCCAGCGGCCTTCACTAGTGTGTGTGCGTGTGCGTGTGCGTGTGCGTGCGTGTGCGTGCGTGCGTGCGTGCGTGCGTGCGTGCGTGCGTGCGTGCGTGCGTGCGTGCGTGCGTGCGTGCGTGCGTGTGTGTGTGTGTGTGTGTGTGTGGTCAGTGCAGCGGAGGAGGCGGAGATGGCTCCTCCCCTGCCTTCCAGCCCTGTTTTTATAATCAGGCGTGGAAACGGGAGAATGGGCATCAGCCGCTGACATCACTGATTCTGCTCAAGGGAGCTCAAGTGAATTCTGCAACAGAGACAGAGGGGGGAGGGAAAGTGAGGGAGGGGTATTTGTTGCCATGGTGAAAGGTTCTCCAAGCAGCTGCTGATTCGCTTGTGCCTTAGCGCACCCCTTTCCATTCTTCTCCCCTCCCTCTCTCTCTCTCTTGCTCTCTCACTCACTCTCTCCTCCGTGTTACCGCCAGCCATTCAGGCAACAGATTTGTACGCTGCGCAGTCGGCTGTGGACCTTCCTGCTTCAGACCTTTTACGCCGTCCGCCACACGCAGGGATGGGAGACCCTGTCCTCCAAACACAGAGAGAGGATACTGGCAGGTAAGGGAGGAACTCCTCGCTGTGAGACACAGCAGGATATTAATGCTGCGGTGTGTCTGTATTTTCCCCCTCCCCTAACCCAGCCTGGCGCTGAAGCAGTGGCTCTGCAGATGAACCGAAGCCCTTGGAGCATATGCTGTGGGCTGATTTAATACTTAATGGCTTCTCTCTACACAGCCGCCTGGCTACTACTAACCCATATACAGTTGGCACAGTGCTGCTCTTAAACATTTTGCTTCATGTGAGCTACCTTCTTAACCGTCTTGTTTTCATGGGTGGGAGTGAAAGCCTGGATTCTTTGTGGGTCCGACCATGACTAGAAGCTTCCTCAGTTACAAATAATGTGCTGTTTTGTTTGCTGTAACGTGTTGAAATTAACCGCATGAATAATTAATTTGGCTGCTGGTATCAGCGTGTTGCTATTACTGGTACATTTCTTGCCAGTGAAATCGGATTCCAGGTCTCACATGCAAACATAACACAAGCAAATAGAGTCCATTTCACCTCATTTGCTTTTGATTATAAAATAAATCAGTAGGTTCTATAATTGTACTGTATTAAGTCTAGAAATGTCTGTGCTTTGTTTGGGTTAGTCCTTGCCTGACTGATCGACCCATTGATTCATTGTTTGTTTCCTGAAGGGTAAACACAGGGTGTGGAAATGGGAATTTGTGAATGAATAGAATAGATCCTCTAGCATCTTGGAAATACAATTGGTGCAGCCCTTTTCATCTTTTTTATTCTTGAACAGTGTGTTTTGCATACTAACTGGCTAATGGCTGATCGTCGGTCTTCCTTTTATCCTGTTTTCACAGATGCCATTGATAAAGGGGACAATCGAAGACTTGGCAAAAAGCCTGTATTCACGAGCTCCCAGGTAATATTATCATCCTACCATGCATTAACATTTATCTTTTTATTTACGGTTTAATTTTGATTCAGAAACAAAAACACAATGACGTTTTATTTGACTTGTAACTCTGACTTTGACTCAGCTTGATGATGTGAACTTTTGAGGCAGTTTTAGAAACATCCGTGTAAGTTTGTGTAATCCCTGACGGTGATGACTGTCTGGAGCCAACAGATGCCATATGTCATAAATGCCCCACCTACAGATGCAGTATAGAATTAGCAGCAGGGCCTCTCTAAACAGATGTATAGCTAAAATAAGCCGTCCAGGGAGGGCTTGCCAACATGTTAGGCATGAGCGGTTAAGAGCAGTGGAGCTCCTACAGATCTCTGGCAAAGTGGTTTGATGCAGTCAAAACAAGAACGTTGCCTGTCTGTAATCTGCACTAATGTTATTCATATTCCATATGACCATGCCCTGGGTCTTTGCTGATTAATCCTGCCTCACGGTTACGTGACTAATTTGGTACATTTTTCCCCTGCAGTCGAGGGCGGTAAAATGCCCTTCATCTGCACCTGAGAGTCCTCCTGTGCACAGGACACAGAGGGTGTCCGAAAACGCAACTTCTGTCTCCCGTAGCGCTGCATCAGCCATGAAGTCCGATGGACTGGGGACAGCCACCAAACCGGGAGAGGGTCCCACGTCCAAGGCGAAGAATGCGAAGAAGCCAGGGGACCGCAGTGTAGCCGCAAAAGCAAAGACGGCGTCAGCTGGCACGCCGGTTGTCAATGGCACAGGAGCCGCGGGGGCCAGGCGGGACGTAGCCAGCGCCAATGGCCCCAGGAGCTCTCATGGCGCTAGGGAGCAGGAAAAGAAGCCAAACCCTGGTGCAAGGCCTAAAACGTCTCCCCCGAGCTGCACGTCTACAAGCCAGACTGGGGCAGTGAAGGCTCAAAAGAGCTCAGCGGGAAAGTCTGACAGCACTGTTGGCAACAGCCACGCTCAGCCCAGCGCCTCATCCACATCAGGCAGCGCCTCGCCAGAGAACGGTTCCAGCAGCCCTCGCAACGACACCCACTCCATCCCAGGTTCACTCTCCTTATTGACTTCTTTACATTTCATCGTCGTGACCGACGGCAATTACAATGTAGGACAACAGAGTAGACGAGCTTTAGCGTATTACGCTCCAGGCAAAATACCGTAGCTGATATACGGAAAGGACCTGCAGACTAATTAGTATGAGGAATGTTGTGTTATGGCCAAGAGGGCTTTGTGAAAGACGAGGGCAGTGTCATGTATGAATGTCGATGTTCTGAGGAAGCAAAGCGCAGCGTAGAAACTCTCAGCAGACGTCAAAGCCTGTGCAGCTGTCCCACAGGGAACACGTGTGACTGATCACTTTGAGCTTCTTTGGGGGGGGGTTTAAGGAGGCGGGGTAACCCAGACTGATGTTAGTGGGCCTCAGCTTCCTGTCCTGCCCGTACAATCGCAGCATGTGTCCCCGTACCCCACCCTGAAAGTGACTTTCTACATGACTGTGATGTGAGCTTGCTCACTAGCAGCACATCCCCCTCCCTCACTGTGTATCCTTGCTACCCTGAAGAGCTTGTGGTTTATTCTTCAGCAAATTGAGATTCTAATTAACAGTTGTGCATGTGGTTCATTTCCTGTGTTTTAGGTACAAAGCCCAAACAGCAGGCTAAGGCAGTGAACAAATCCCCACTGACGAAACCTCCTCAGAAATCGGATACAGCAAAGATCAGCAGGTGAGTCAGTGTGCTTTCTCATTGTGTCTTGTGTAATCGGTGAAATGCTAGGTGTAACATCAAAAGGCTCTAAGTGATGTCCTTGTCAACTTCCTCTTGGACGTTCCAATTGGGTGGATCTACCTTAAATGCCATTCTACCAGTTGAGGATTTGTGAGATTCTCTTTGAGGGTTTAGGGAACAATCCAGCAAACGTTGGTGCTTCCTGTACACAGACCAACTAATGAAAGAGCATTGTTCAAATCTGAATAAACAATACTCAGAAAATAATAGAGATATTCCTTATTTCTGAGACAGACTGACTCCTGTGTAGCATTCCACTATTATCTATATTATGTCATATGTATATATTAATGAATATACAGTGGGTACGGAAAGTATTCAGACCCCTTTAAATTTTTCACTCTGTTTCATTGCAGCCATTTGCTAAAATCAAAAAAGTTCATTTTATTTCTCATTAATGTACACTCAGCACCCCATCTTGACAGAAAAAAACAGAAATGTAGAAATTTTTGCAAATTTATTAAAAAAGAAAAACTGAAATATCACATGGTCATAAGTATTCAGACCCTTTGCTCAGTATTGAGTAGAAGCACCCTTTTGAGCTAGTACAGCCATGAGTCTTCTTGGGAATGATGCAACAAGTTTTTCACACCTGGATTTGGGGATCCTCTGCCATTCTTCCTTGCAGATCCTCTCCAGTTCCGTCAGGTTGGATGGTGAACGTTGGTGGACAGCCATTTTCAGGTCTCTCCAGAGATGCTCAATTGGGTTTAGGTCAGGGCTCTGGCTGGGCCAGTCAAGAATGGTCGCAGAGTTGTTCCGAAGCCACTCCTTTGTTATTTTAGCTGTGTGCTTAGGGTCATTGTGTTGTTGGAAGGTGAACCTTCGGCCCAGTCTGAGGTCCAGAGCACTCTGGAAGAGGTTTTCTTCCAGGATATCTCTGTACTTGGCCGCATTCATCTTTCCTTCAATTGCAACCAGTCGTCCTGTCCCTGCAGCTGAAAAACACCCCCATAGCATGATGCTGCCACCACCATGTTTCACTGTTGGGATTGTATTGAGCAGGTGATGAGCAGTGCCTGGTTTTCTCCACACATACCGCTTAGAATTAACGCCAAAAAGTTCAATCTTGGTCTCATCAGACCAGAGAATCTTATTTCTCATAGTCTGGGAGTCCTTCATGTGTTTTTTGGCAAACTCTATGCAGGCTTTCATATGTCTTGCACTGAGGAGAGGCTTCCATCGGGCCACTCTGCCATAAAGCCCCGACTGGTGGAGGGCTGCAGTGATAGTTGACTTTGTGGAACTTTCTCCCATCTCCCTACTGCATCTCTGGAGCTCAGCCACAGTGATCTTTGGGTTCTTCTTTACCTCTCTCACCAAGGCTCTTCTTCCACGATTGCTCAGTTCGGCTGGACGGCCAGGTCTAGGAAGAGTTCTGGTCGTCCCAAACTTCTTCCATTTAAGGATTATGGAGGCCACTGTGCTCTTAGGAACCTTGAGTGCTGCAGAAATTCTTTTGTAACCTTGGCCAGATCTGTGCCTTGCCACAATTCTGTCTCTGAGCTCCTTGGGCAGTTCCTTCGACCTCATGATTCTCATTTGCTGTGACATGCACTGTGAGCTGTAAGGTCTTATATAGACAGGTGTGTGCCTTTCCTAATCAAGTCCAATCAGTTTAATTGAACACAGCTGGACTCCAATGAAGGAGTAGAACCATCTCAAGGAGGATCAGAAGAAATGGACAGCATGTGAGTTAAATATGAGTGTCACAGCAAAGGGTCTGAATACTTATGACCATGTGATATTTCAGTTTTTCTTTTTTAATAAATTTGCAAAAATTTCTACATTTGTTTTTTTCTGTCAAGATGGGGTGCTGAGTGTACATTAATGAGAAATAAAATGAACTTTTTTGATTTTAGCAAATGGCTGCAATGAAACAAAGAGTGAAAAATTTAAAGGGGTCTGAATACTTTCCGTACCCACTGTATGTATATATTATATGTAAAAATGGCCGTGGAAGAGGCTGCGTTCAAATGACAAAATATGGCCAATAACAACTCGTAGGATAAACACGGGGCCTGGAACTTAAAATACAGAAGGTATATCAGAAGGACAAAAGTTTACGTAACCCAAAGATATATCATGAGAATCAAAATCTTGAAGGAACGCTAAATCAATTTAAATTGTACAAAAGCACTTTTGACCGCAGTCACCTACTCTAAAATGACTGAAATCAGTTGAACTGACTATTTTGACTGTGTGTGTGTTCGGTCGCACTGCAGCCTGTAAGGCTGAGTTTGAGTTTAGTCTGAACAAGTCTGAGTGCCATGCATCCTCACTGCATTCCTAACATGGCCAAGCCAAATTGCAATCTGAGCTCAATGCCAATACACCCACCTCCATTAGCGGAAAGCATTCCGGGCCTAGGAAGCAAAACAAACCTACCTTCCTACATGTTCAGTAATGTACATGTAGGACAAATATGATGACGGTATCACCTGGTGGCTTTTTTTAGTCCACGTGCGGCTGTCAGGAGGTTTTAAAGCATCTGCGTAGCGTTTTCTGACGAGCCTCTTATCTGTCCTTCAAAGATGTTAAAAATATCCCTTTTTACAATCTGCATCATCCAAACTCCATCTGTCCCGGGAGCACATCAATATTTAACAGTCTCCCTGGAAAGCAACCGTGCAAGTTAGCCAACAAAATAGCTGGTAGCCTAAGAAAACATCTTTGGATTACAGTCTTGTGTAAAGAAACAGATGGCACAGGTGTTCATCTGTGGAGGATACACATTGTGCTGAAGTTAGCTGTAAACCCTCAGAGGGAAGATACTCCAGGAGAGTAGTTAACATTGAACTCCCCTCGATACAAATCATTTGTAAATTATGAATTTTTTAAAGCTGACTTGTAATATTATTTCTATCGTGACAATCTCAGGTAGATTCTATCAAACTGTCCTCGGTAGATTCGCTAAGATGTCGGATAATGAAAATCCATCAACCTTGGGCAGACAGCAAAGTGTGCTCTCTGTTCTCTGGTTCCTACAGTCATATTCTGTTCATACGCAGGATGCAACATCCTTCACAAGGACACAAGTAACAACTTGAAATTCTTTGCATTGATAATCAGCTCATGTCTAAAGCAGCTTGTCCTTGACAAACTGGGTGGAAACGCTTTGCTGCCCCGCTCTGGTGTCGAATATTTATTTGGGGTTTCATTTCCCTGCAACTGCTCTCCTAAATATTGTTTAACGATGATGTGAGCCAGAGGTATTCATTATTTGGGATCTTTTTGGTAAAACGTGTGTAGTCACTCTGTCGTTTGTGTGTGTTTTGATCAACCAATCGCAGTCCTACCAACAAGTCCAGTGCGAGAGAAAGTGGCAAAGTCAAGACTGGTGCAGCAGAGAGAGCGTCCAGCGGAGTGACGGCAGCAAAGGTAGACGCCAAGGGACGAGGCACACCGGACCACCACGGTGAGATGTTCAGTCTGCTTCATCCAAATGTCTGTCAGTATATTGGAGCAACGTCCTAATGTCCTGTTCTGTCTTTGGGTTAGTCTCTAAGCATGGATCCTCCATGAAAAAGCCAGCCTCCCCCAGGAGAGAAGACGGCAAAGACGGGTTGAAATCCTCAGCGCCAGACAAAGCAGCCGGTGAAGCTCATAAAAAGAAAATCACCAAACCCGCTTCGGTGACTGGAGCCTCGGCTAAATCCAGCACTAAACCACCAAAAGCCTCTCAAGCCCCCTCCAAGCCATCTTCAGTTGTAGCTGCCAAGTCTGGGCCAAAGCCGAAAAGCGCTACTGATTCATCTGCAGAGAAAGCTTCTCCGAAATCTGGAGGACATTCCAAAACCTCAGCTGCATCTGCCTCCAAGAAATCGGGAACCAAAGGAAAAGAGGCAGCGAATGGTAATAATTCAGACTGTAAAACCGAGCTTGCACCAACTGTAAACACTGGGAATATGGCGGTGCGTGAAGAAAGGCAGGAGGTATCGCTGTCTGACCAGCCTGCAGCACGCAGCACACAGCCAACAAGCCAGAGTGGAGGGGATCCACTCAGCCTCAAACTAGAATCAAGCCCTCAGCAGAGTCTCCAGAAGACTGAAATACTGTCGCAAAGCACTACGAGTGCACCAGCAGCTCACAAGCCCCCCCATGGCAAATGTGCTAACGCAGACACTTGCAAGCACACTGAAGGGAGTAAAGTGAAACCATCTCTGAGCGGTGTCATCCCAGCTCACATCAGCGGAGAGCAAGCTCACGAGGTCGGCTCCCCAAATTCTTCCAGAGACACCGAACGGCCCGTAGACACCTCATGCAGCATGGGAAGCACTGACACTCCCTTAGAGGACTCCTCCTGGAGCGGCAACCACCATCAGGTCAGCCCGGGGTCCGAGACCGGCAGCACACACACCACGTCCTCCGACGACATCAAGCCCCGCTCGGAGGACTACGACGCAGGGGGCTCGCAGGACGACGACTGCTCCAACGACAGGGGCGTGTCCAAGTGCGGCACCATGCGCTGTCACGACTTCCTGGGCCGCAGCAGCAGCGACACGAGCACCCCGGAGGAGTTGAAGATATGCGAGGGCGGGGCGGGGTTGAGAGTGGAGGTGCGGCTGCGCGGGCGGGAAGCAGAAACCACCAGCGAGGAGGAGGCGGTAAGGCAGCGTCCTCGCTCCTGGTTGCATAGAGACGAGCTTCCCGACGAGGAGGAGCCCTCAGAGGTCGAGGCCACCGTGACGGTGAAAAGCGTGCCCGACCCGCAGCTCTTCTCCTCCGAGGAGGAGGAAGAAGAAGAGGAGGACGAAGATGAGGCCACAGAAGACGAGAGGTCCGAAGTTGAGGTGATTCCGGGCCCGCTGCCGCCAACTGAGCCCTCGCCGCTCTTCCAGGGGATCGTCAACCTGGCTTTCGACGACGACGGCGTGGACCAGGAGAACGACCAGCCCGACTACCAGTCTTCCAACTTCCGTCGCTCAGTGTTGCTCTCCGTCGACGAGTGCGAGGAGCTGGGCTCAGAGGAGGGCGGCGTCCAAACTCCGCCTCAACAGCCCGATGACGCGGCAACCCCCTGTGACGTTTTTGAGTCCGACTCTGCAGCGCCTCGGTCCAACTGCGCCCCCGCCGGTGACCAACAGAACCACCTGCCGGGCCACCTTACAAGTGCAGAGACGGAGCGCGGAAAACGCATCAAGGAACGGGAAGACAAATCCTCCGTGTTCCTCACAGAGATCCGGGAGCTCGCACGGGATGAGGCCGATGGAGGGAAGTGCAGCGGCCCCCTCCCGGACGCCGACGCCAGAGACCTACCTCCCCAGGAGCGCCCGTGCCACCTGGATCTGCGGCACACTGAACAATACAACGGAGGGCCGCGTAAAAATCACAGCAACCCTTCAGAAAGCAAGAAAGCTGATTTACATCTAGACTTAAATGAGCCTCAGCTGACAGGGGAGTCTCCTGTACATGCTGCACAATCTCCAGCAGGTAATGTATGATCTACGGACCCTTCCTAGACCCCAAATCCAAAGCCATCTCTTATCCCTAAACTCCATCAGTGAAGGTTTAGTTTATCCCCGCAAGATCCATTCTCCTCCGCTTTGATCCCTAGACCTTACCCACATCCAGCGTATACCCATCCCTCTCTCAGAAAAAAAGGATATAGTGCAGTACCTAGTTAAACATACAAGTTCAAATTCAAATGAAGTCATCATATTTTCATAGCTAAAGCTTCCTCTCATTTCAACCCATTGATTGTGTAGCTGTTGTAAATTTGAATTTGCAACATCGATATCCTTTTGAAGATGGAGATTGGTTTCATCATAGCAAGTAACCTAAAGTGTACATTTTAAAACAACTGATCTACCTTCAGGCAGAGGCATTTGGGCTTTGGTAACTCAACAACAAAGGGGGGGGGGGCAGTGTACATTTCATTAAGACTGATCAGAGAATTGTATTTGTCAAAAAAGAATCTGCCTTGCGACAAGGCCTGTGACATAGTCATACCAATGCACTTTTATGTACATAAAAATAAGATTCTTTGATTATTTTTGTCATTTCTTTCATGCAGTGGAACAGTCTTTGGCCTTTTTTTTCAAGCCATAGATCATGTGACATAGTGGAAGGTGCTTTAAATATGACTTTAACATCAACATATCATTGCCAAATCAATTGTGGTTTGTTGGTATAATTACTGTTACACTGACCATCATTGAGATCATTTTATGCCACCGATAGTGATGTTGATGAAGCTTGTGTTTCTTCAAATGTTCGACTACATGTCCCATAAACCCCTTCCCCCCGCAGATGCTGCCGCGTGTGTTGCTTTTGGTTTTGCTTTATTGTAAAAGAAGAATGTGTTTGGCTTCTCATGTACTGAACCGTTGCCATTTTGAGAAACACAAACTTTTGGTTCCAGACGCTGCTTCTTCTTTGGTGCCAAAAAAAGCACAGACAGCTCTGGACCTTGTGGTACACCACGTCAGTTATAGCATCACTAGGCGCTGCTCGACTTCTCAGTTGACAGTAATCACACTAACATCTGGAAATGAATTTCCAAAGATGTGTTGATGTTAAACAGCTGTGTGGCACCTTTTTTTATTATTATTATTTGTGTTCAAGTAAATTACAAGCGAGTAATGCTTTCCTTGAAGTCTCTTCTGAGTGACTACCTGACATTAAGGTATCATTTAATAGATGACACTAAACTGCCACTGCTTCTCAGAAAAGTGTGTTAAACGGGGGACTTTCCCCTTGCATCTCCTTGCTGTTCATTTTTGTTATTTCTACTGGAGAATGTACCTGTTCCTGAGGTTTCTTTTTGTTTGTTTGTTTGTTTGTATTTGTTTTATTTTGCACTGCACACATGCATGCTATTATTAAATTATTTTGACATTCCCCTCTACCATCTGTCATCTTTTTTTTTTTTCTCCATCATACATATTACCTTTTGTCATACCCAGTAGACGTATATCTGTCTAGATATGTAGGCTTTTACTTTTGAAGAAGCCTGTTGTTGTTGTTGTTGTTGTTGTTGTTGTCTATAAGCTTGTGTTCAGTAGGTTTGTGGTGTAGTGTCAGCAGCCTCCTCTGTAAAGTGTGTGATGTGTCTCTAGAGCGGCCGTCACGGTCCTGCCATGTCTCTCTTTTTTCACTGCCACAGTCATAAGAAATCCTGCTGCACCACTACTGAGGGTCCATCCCGCTGCAAACATGTCAATTGTTTTGTTTTCATTATCAAACGGTGATCGGTGACGTCATCCTTTGCCTTTTTTTTTTGAAATTGTAAGAAACAGAAAACTCAGAATGACAAAAGAATCTCAGTGGTGTGCCATCTTTTGTGCTGCTAAAGTAAAGCACCGTTGCTTGCATTTTTTTTTTTTTTTGTGAAAATATTTAAGTCTGTTTATTAGACCTGCACGTAAATCTCAAAAACACATCTCACTGTTACTGACGGACACATGCAGTGTCCAGTTCACTGGTGCTGGCGATGCATGGCTTACTTTGTTTGAACAGGTGGATAAAGAGATGCATTCAGGTCAGCGGTCACCCTGCATTACCTTTAAAGCAACTGTATACCGTTGACATCCATGTTGGAAGTTGGTGAATATCAAACTAATGGATTTAAGGTTTGTGATGGTTTAGCCATTTAACTGACCCCAATGTGACCGTCAGTGTCACTCTCCGTGCTGTCCTCACCTAACTTCCCTGCTTGTTACAGGACACAGTTGCATTAAGAGTAAACATTCAGTTATCAGTGTTTTATTGTAGTGCGCAGTCACTAGTCTCTGAAATGTGTAAAAGAACTGTGGAGCGGTGAAGCACTTTGTCATTTTGCAGTATTGTCAATTGTTTTTAGGGGACAATGGTTGTGACAGATTGGATCAAACCGGCAAACATGACCGCCGACCGTCCAAAGCCCTCTCCCCCATCTACGAGACGGATGTGGGAGAAGCGTTTGAGCGCTGCTCGGACAAGGACAGGAATGTTAGAGAGGAGGAGGAGGAGGAGGAGGAGGAGCAGCGGCAAAGAGGGGACGATGACAAAAGCAATGAGTTCGCCGAGCGGGACTGGAGCCTGCTCAGGCAGCTCCTCTCGGACCACGAGTCCAACCTTGGCATCATAAACCCCGTGCCCGAGGAGCTCAACCTGGCCCAGTACCTCATCAAGCAGACGCTGTCGCTGTCGCGGGACTGCTTGGACTCGCAGGGCTTCCTGTCCTCGGAGAAGGAGACCTTCAAGCGCTGGGCGGAGCTCATCTCGCCCATGGACGACTCCTCCACCAGCATCACAGTCACCAGCTTCTCCCCGGAAGACGCTGCATCTCCACAGGGGGAGTGGACCATCGTGGAACTGGAAACTCATCACTGACTGCAAAGAGAGAGAGAGAGCCTGCCTGACAGTTCACACCTTCTCTATGAACGTCTTTACATCAACTTTGTCTTAATTCATTATGATTTATAATCATGCGCTGTCTGTCTTTTTGACATGTCTTTTTTTCCGGACTCTGCAGAACTCTGGGCTTTGCAGCAGCTTATTTGCAATTTCCAATCATGCCCTCGGTGGACTGTTTTTTTTTTTGACACAAACGGGCTGTTATGCATGCTATTTTTGTATGTCTGACTGTTTAATTGATGTTGCTTCGAAGCTCTAGAAAAGAATAGAGTAAGAAAAAAAAACACCTCTTTCTCATGACAGTCTTCTGATAATATGGTTGACTGAAGTTTCTTAAAGAAAAATAACAAGATTGGCCTAGTGGCTTGCAGTTAGTGTCATATTGAAAATAAAGGTTTGTGTTTATTGAAAAAAAGAAGTCACTCACTGTCAAGTCATAGAGGAATGTGACACTGTACACTGATTTAGCTCCTGTTTTTCTATTGTAATGTCAGTTTTACTGGTTGCACAGGTGTAATAATTATATTAGTTTACTAAGACAGGTGTGGAGCCTTCGTTCGTACACCTGTGCTTAGCCTGACATCCTAAACATTTGAATTCATTATCCTGCAATGACGAGTTAAAATGTATAATTATACAGTCACGAGTGGACGGATATTTCTAAAGACACAGCTGTTGTAAATTAGCATAACTAGTAAAGAAACGTCTGTCCACCGCAAAATATCAACCCAAAAAAAAACTCACCTGTGAAAAAATACAAAGTGCATTCCAGTCCTTTGTATTTTTTGCACATTGGTTTGTGTTAGTTTACGCCGGTTTTAGACACTAAAACGTTGGAGAAGCCAGGAAGTGTTGTTAGATAGTACCGCAGCGCCCTCTCGTGGCTTCATGCTAGCATTACAACTGACGCTCGTGCTGTGTTCAAGATACAGAGGCGGCTGTCTCGTGCGAATGTACCGCGACGACATTAATTCACCGAGCCCCCCCGCCAAATAAAAAAGTTAGTGGGTCTCATTACCAGCAGTGTACTCTTAATGAGCCGGTGATGGCGTCACACGGAGAAATGAGTCCTCAGTGGAAAACAACGATCATAGTGAGCTCGTCTCTCCAGGTAGGTGTTCAGGTCTCTTCAGCTGTCACACAGTTGGAGTTTGCTCTTAGGTGTGAAGAATATGATATATGGGTTTGCTAGAGAGTTAGGGAGTCTTTTTTTTTGGGCAGTTGGAAAATGTAGCAGCCACTCAATAGATTACCAATGTTTGTTTGTTTTGTCTGCCAGTGAATCAAACCCAGCAGCCACCTACACGTGTCACCAGCAGTCTGGCCTCTGGTGTGCTAGCTATCTAATTTAGCTAGCTTAAAGCTATAACATGGACAAACACGCTAAATGTGCGCTCGCATAACAAGAGTTAGTGAAACGTTACTCTTGTCTAATTATCTTTATTTGCTTTTCAGAACCATGACACAAACAGGATGTTAAGCGCGCAGCAGCACCGAATCCGCTTTTCAGACAGCGTTGAGTCTGGAGCCTTTATTTTCCCCCTGTCAGGTACAGCTGCTGTTAGATAAGCACGTTATCAACATGAGCTCTGCGCGCGCACACACACAGACAGCAATGCCTCGATAGGCTGCTATTGGACCCTTACCTGATCTATAAAACGGACCACAAATGCAACATCAGTGCTTCACAGTCAACAAGTAATATGCTGTGTTTAGGTGAATAAGGTGGACCGTTTGTAACGTATTTGTCTAGGCACTGCCTTTCTGTTGGTTGACCCCCAAGACCACCTGGAGCATTTTGAGGAATCCGGACTCATTGAGAGGGTAAAGACTTTTGTGCAAGTACACAGGAACAGCTTCCTGCTCCTGTACGCGCCCTTTAATGGGAAAAAAGAATTGGAAGTCTTATCGGTGATTCAACACAGGTACTTCCACAAGTTCTCAACCTGGCAGAGTGTTACCCTTTTGTTTTGTTAATAGTGTTATGCTAACATTATACTAAGATTCATATTCTTCTTCAGATTCTTCGGCAGCAGTCTCAGGATCCTCCCCGTGCGAAACAACGCAGAGCTTGTGAAAGGAATGTTGACAATTGCCAAGGTAAAGATACAAGCTGAGTTATGTGGTAGCTCTTGATGATAATCTAGACATGCTGCTGTTCCCTCATGATACTCTGAAGTTAGCCGCGGCTCCTCTGTCTGCAGGCCACCAGTAAGCCGCATGTAGACCGTATCCGCGATCGGATGTCTCTGGCTCGGGCTCACGTCATCGAAAGCAGTCCAGTGTGGGAGATGCTGAGAGACATTCTCTGAAGCTCAGCGTGTTCACACACTTAACACGTGTTGTTTTATTTGATGCTAAAGCACAAGTGTTACTTGGTAAATTTAAAAGATGTTTCAATATATTAGCACAGTTTGTTCTATTTTTCTTTTACATTGTTTCATAAAAAATGAAAGGTTCTTTGTCCTGCATGTTTTTTCAGTCAAACAGAAATAAAACGGTGTTTATTGAAAATATCCCGGCGGTCTGAAGTGACACCTGGATTCAGTTCTTCCGCTTTTCCTCCGTGATCTCCTCGATACGCACTATAAGACTCTCCATCAGGTCAAAGGTCACCAAAGCACTCTGCAGCACCTGTGGGGCACATGGCTACAGTCAGCTTGCTGATCCTAAAAAAAGGGTCAAAATCCAAAGTGCTAAATAAAAGGAGACGAAGTGTCTTCACCTGGTGCTGGACCTCTGGGGACATATCGGACACTTCCTCATGTTTCACCGCCATGCTTTTTAATACTCTGGTGGATCTGGCAGCCTCTCTGGCTTCTGGAGAGGAAAGTGGAGAAAGTTCACAGCATGGAAAGGTTATTTCAATGTTGTTTAGTTGCACAGATTAGCAGCTAACGCCGACCGTTTGCTCTCAGCTTTTGATCCCCCCTCAGTGCCTTCAGTTCAGAGGAATAGTGTCTTCTTGATCTGCCGATGCACAGACGCAGCATTTTCAGGTATTCCTCTTTGATCCCACTCAGCTCTTCCCACACATCTGTCTGAGGGGGGAGGGGGGGGAGGGGGGGAGTAGAGCATCAACTTAGTGCATTAACCAGGCTGAAGAGCTGTGGAGGCATTGAAGAAGTGAGACTTACAGCGCTCCTCAGTTCTGTGTCTCTGATGAGGAGGTAGCGGAGGAAATTCAGACTCTCCATTATCCTGATGGACAAACGCAGACGGGGCATCGCTCAGTGGCTCCAGTTCTCACAACTACAGACCTGTTGTATTTTACAACCCAAACATATCGGAGCAGGCCTGTCTGTATGTCTAACTGTTGCTCATTTTACTGACCTGTCCATGCTGTGAAGCAAATCTGTCTGAGCACCTTTTGGCAAACTCAACACCAGTCCCATCAATGAGAGAAACTCCGCCCCCAGGAACCCTTTGTTGGCAGTACCCGGCTGGAGGGAAGTTAACAGGTTAAACAGGTGAGGATAAAATCACCAGCGCAAACACAATCAAGACCACGGTCCAATACAGAGGCAGGACCTCCTAAAGCCGTACAAAACATGTTGTATATAAATATGAATGATTTCTCACTTTTTCTCACCTTCATAGCAAATTCCACTTGACTCCTGATGTTCTTTACTATGTAACTCTCGACTCCTGCATGGTTGCTGGTTTTTAACATGCACCTGCAACACAACACAAGACTTTTGTTAATGGACTTCAGATGAGATGTAGCTGCAGCGAGAATACAGTGAAGAAAAACACAACATCAGTTGAAATACAGTTAAACATGAACACGTGCAACAGCTTAGCAGCGGAGCAGAAGAGGAAAATGTATAGATCCGCCCTCAAATGGGTGTAAACATACAGCTGTTTAAACCAGGAGTAATGTGTTCAAATTATGATGGGAAAATGTACCAAAAATGTGAGTTATCATTATGAATTAGATGAACATAAATCTATAGTAGCTTCTGAATACATTTGACAGTGGAATAAAATCACATGCAATATGTTGTATTCCAGCGATCTAGTCCACATCAATCGTGCACCCGTATAAAAGCATCCTCCGTCTATATTTGTGCTGTTGACGCACAAGCGTTTGGTTCGGTATTCTCCTCCTTCCTCCTCTCACCTGAAGAACTTGTGCTTCGCTTCAGCGTCTAATTTATCGATGAAGAGCTGGAAAACCTGTAGTCCGGATTCTCTCTGGGGACAGAAGAGACAAGGCAACAAATTGGTGAGTTTTACACACCAACAGATGTAGAATACGTCTTTCTCATCAAGCGTATAACTCTACTCACCAAATGCTGCATTGGGCAGTCGGTAAGAACCTGCCTCAGATTCTGTGAATTACAGCGCACAGCAAGATTCATTTCAATCAGCTACTTCTGCAGATCAGCATCCCGGCTTAGTTGTGTTTTATTAAAAATATTACCATATTTAAAAAGAAGCTTAATCCTACATCAGATCTACGGTTTAAATAACGCCAACCAGTCTAATGTCTCGTCACATCAAAGTAAGTGTGCAGTTGAACATCCTACCAGACCCCTACAGAAGAAAATGGTCATTTTAATGGAGGGTAACACATTGCTGCTTTTAGGAGCGTAAAATGGAGGCTGGTGGCTTGCTTGTCTTACCTGTGGCACGCTGTAGAAGCTCTTCAGTTCCAGCAGACTCACTGGGAGGCTGTTGTCCTGCACACTCTCCAAGCTCTTTGCATACAGCGCCTGTGTGGAAAACGCACACAATTATGCCCCAAAAAACACGACCGCCGCTTTCTTACTCTGCACGTCGGCGTGGCCTTACCAGTCCTTTGAGCAAGTGTGATTCCTTTTTGCTGTCAAGGAAAGCAGATTACAGATTACACAATGAAATCATTTGAAAATGACACAAAGATTCAGTTCACGTCGTGCCTGACAGCGTACCTACTGAGCAGTTGATTGATGTAGTCCATGTTGCACTGAAGAACAAACAGAGGACTGGAACGGCAGGAAACGGTACAATGTCACTCGTTAAGTAAAAAACGAGCACTGTCGGTGAATGTGCATCATCAGTCAGTCTGATCACATTCAGCTCACCTGAATACTGCCGGGAAGCTGTGGATGCCGATGAGCTGGACGAACAGCAGGTAAGCCAGACAGGCTCTGGACTCCTTGGACTGACTGCTGCTTTTCTTCAGAGGGCTGAAGAACAGCAGCTCTGGCAGAGACTCCTGGATGGCAGGCAGCGTGACCTGCAGTGATGCACGGTGGCGACATTACCCATAGGACCCGAGAGCCCCCCACGGGTGGCTGTTTTAGAGTGTGCAGCATTCAGCGTGTCGTAGAAAGCATTTTTCATAAAGAAATATGATTATTGCTCCAGACATATTAAATATCGAATTAATGGGAAAAGTCCGAGCAACATCATCATACCAGCCATTGTAAACACTGCAAACACAATTATACATGAACTAATATCATATCTGGAAGATATCTAGAAGATTTGCCACAATTTTGGCCAAAAATCGACGACCTATGCTCACTCTATGGCTCTCTCATCACGGAGCAAGGATCGCACATGGCGGATGAACACATGCAGGAGGGGCAAGATTCGACCCGGAAACGCACAGCGGCGTCGAAATTACTCTCTTTCAAACCGTTCAAAAGTTATGGGTATACATGCCAACATCAGCCGCAGGTCACGAGAAAAAAAAATGGGTAAAAAAAAAAACTTACGTTTTGGCGATGTAAAACGGATTTATTCCAGCCTATTTCGGCACAGCTCTGCCCGCCATGTTGTGTTGCATGTCTGTGAGTGAGATCAATGCGCTCGCGGAATGAATCACAAAATGGCAGACGAGTCTGTGAGGTGGAGCAATCCATGTAGAGAGGGGGGTTCGCCCTGCATTTTGCGATTCTTAGTCAGTAAACAGACTCAGATACGATCAAACACCCCCGCATGGCTCCCGTTGGACTATCCCGCATCTAAAAAGCTCTCACAGGAGTAAATCGGCCAAGCACAGGCCTTACCAGGGTCACATAGACACACATTATGAGCCATTTATTGTTATGAATGACATATGACTCATCATAACTGCTCAAAATTATTCAAAATGGTGTCAAACTGATTTATTAGGATTATTGAACACTCTTAGTGATAATAAAAGTGAATATATAGTTAATATTTAGTTATATAGTATATAAAATTTGTATACAGCAATAAAACAGCTGGTTCCGAAAATCAAAATTTAGATTTTTATGACCATTTATGCTGGCCTGCTTCACTCAATCAAAGTAAAATATGTTGTGGGGACATGTAAAACGTGTTGTTCTATGACTGTGGCGTATTTTTAGGCTTGCAGCTGCGTTATTTTAAAAAAAAAAGTTCAATACAAGTGCTTTTTTTCAGGCGAACCTAGAAATTTTTCAATTTGAGCTGTGCCATAAGTGTATCAGTTATTAACCAGCAACATATACACAATATTTACACAATTCAACACATCTCACAAGTGTTACCAGTATTCTAGCATCAAAATTATTAAAATAGACCTTGTAGTTAGAGCTGGGGACTCTCTTGAGTATGGCTATGCAATTTTCGAGCAGAGGGCTAAAAATAGGGCTAGGGTCCTATGGGTTTAAGAAACCAAATGAACGTTTGAAACACCGTCTGATGTTTTGACCGCTCTCACCAGTATCTCTGTCGCAAAAAGCCACAGGGAGGATCTTCTGTCCCGGGTCAGTTCGGCCTCGAGCAAGGGCTCCCTCAAGCTCCTCAGGCAGCTGCAGAAAATCACAACTCAGCCTTTTTTTCTTTTTTTTTTTTTTTTTTACAAATGTCATGAGTGCTTATCCACCATTTTAATTTTAACCACGTACTAAAATGAGAAGTGGTGTTCTTAAGTCTTTCTTTACTAAAGAAACAAGAAAAAAAATACACCAAAACCGGTAAAACGATCTCAAACAACAATCTATTAACATCCCATCACTCTGCCTTTAGGCCAACCAAAACATAGTGACAAAAACCTACAACTTGAGAAGCTCGGTCCTCAGCTCCTCATCCTCAGCGGTGGCCACGTGCTCTCCATTCCTCCCCTTCACCTCCTCCACGAATGGCTTGGCGAACACGGCCAGGGCGCTGCAGCAGCGGCACAGGCCGTGCTCGTCGGCCTCCTCCTGCTGCCGGCTGTAAGGCACGGGCAGCCGGGACAGCTGCTTCTGCAGGGCGGTCAGAGCCGAGCCCACGCCAGCCGCCTTTCTGTCACCCAGCCGCAGCAGCACTGCTCCACAACACAAGGTTGTTGTCGTTTGCATTGATGCACAGCAGGGGGAGACAGACCCCACGTTATAAAGAAAAACAACTGTTTGATCAGCAGTAAACCGCCCATCAATACACCAAGAGGGACTTGACTTCTGCTCAGTTTATTAACTACCAAACAAATGCAGTGTAATACCAAAGTCCTGCAACCACACCTCCCTTCATCAAGGTTGTATTAATATTGTTGTTGATTGAACTTTATAGTCATTTTGGGGGCTGCACTTTTATCTGCTGGTGAATCGTTTTTCCTTATACTTACAAGTGTTTCTATTATTTTGTCAACCCCATTTATATCAAGGAGGGTAGGCAAAATAACAGAAACGCCTCTCCTCTACCGGATAAACTGTTCTACAAAGTACCAGACTACCACACGTTGAACAAGTAATATCAATACATTTATGCATTTTTTAAAGGGAATATTAGCAGCTGATATCGGCCTTTAGGTTTCTTTGTCCGCTGTACTTTTTTGCATGAATTTCATAAACACATCATGGAGATTATGAGCAAATGTAATATTTGACCTTGTATTAAGTAGTATGGTTATTGGCATAAAGAGTTCCAGGTGTCTTAGAACGTGCTGATGCGGTGCTTTATGTCCCTGAGGGTTGAGTATGTGTGAGCACAGTAACAGCATGGCGTCGTGAGTCGTGTCACCTGTTTGAAGATGGGGAACGAGGGCTAAGATGGTCTCACAAATGGCCCCCGGATCAATGTCTTCAAGCAGCTCAAGCAAGCTGTGCAGGAGTTCATCGGGCCTGCAAGTCTGCACAACAGATTAGACTTTACATCTAGCGTGCAGGAGGCACGTCTCACGTTCTAGATGAATAGAATGAACCTGTACCCTGGTCAGATGTGTGATGGCAGCCTGGCAGCGATCGAGACTCTTCTCCTTTTGAACCACTTCATTTAGAAGAGGCGCCATGAGAACGCATCCCATACACCTCACGATCCCCTAAGTGCAAGAGACAACGATCATATTTATTACCTTATCATGGATTACACCGGAATTAACCGGTCATTTCCTAAAAAAAGTGCCTGGAAAGTATGATGTCATTTGGTACGAGGGAAAAGACGAATATCCTTGGCAGAAAAAAAACAATTTAAACCAAAGCTAAGATGAATACATCACACATGTATTAATGTAAACTTAGTTGTTAATATTGACTTTTCTTGCATTCATTAGAACATACATCGTGGACATGCCGTTTGATCTCCCTCCATGACAAAGCCAGGGATCTCTTCATCTGATAATCGATCATTTGAACCTCTTGGGATTGTTTCCGCCCCAGAAAGAGTACGGAAACGTCACGAGCTTCTGAAAGTATACGCTGCACACAACTGCGTGAAGAGCGGAGCGATGAGGGACAAACCAAGGGCACTTAGAAGAGTGCCGTATCGAAAAAGGGTTACCAGTGGAGCGAGAAATCTGACTGAATATCTGCTTGTTTCCTCCCCGCACCTCCAGGTCAAGAGGTCAGCAGCAGGCCCAGACTCAGCAATAAGCTGGGTAGCAGGGAAGTGGCTGCTGCTGTTCGCCTCAGTGGCTGTATGGTATATGTGTGGCCGTCGTTGCTCAGGAGGCCGCAGTGTGACTGTGTGTGTGTGTGTGTGTGTGTGTGTGTGTGTGTGTGTGCGCGTGTGCTGTATGACAGTTTAACTCTGAACGTCACTGTCTCAGCATGTGAGGTGTGAGTAGAAAGGACAGACGGTGGAACAGAGCCGTCTCTGGCGGTGGAACTACCTGGTTCTTGTCATCCTGAAGGAATTCCAGTAGTTGTGCAGCGTCCCCCCGGGTGAGACAGGCAGATCCCAAATTCTTGAACCGCTGGTAGTCCTCTGGCTTCAACTCGTCCTCTGGAGTATTTTGCTAAAACGGAGGCAGAACACCTGTTAGTTATCGCCACTGTCGGCAGATTTTTTTATTCTCAGCACAAACCACAAGAGACGAATACTTTAATGAAATCGATTCTTTTCTGTTTTTTGTATTCTGATAAGTCGTGTCAGTGAATGAGGAGGACGGCATGGCGTACAATGCAGACTGCCAGCAGCTCAAAGTGGGCGTGTTATTTGATTGATTTCTTAAAAAGGTTCCCTTCGCTTGAAGGTCACGCCCCCACTGGCATCATTATGAAAGGTGATGATGATTGCCTCAGCTGACATGTATTAAAATGATAGAATATTGTTGACTTACCCATCTGTGGATTATGTCCTTCACCTGATCTTCAGTCGCCATCAGTGTCTCCTCAGCCCTCGCAGGCAATCCTATTATCAATACGTCTTTATTCAAGGCTCCACAATAGATGTCTTTGGCAGCTATAAGAACCGGTGTCAGCACCAGTATCTAAAGGACCAAATGTGTAGCTTTCCTGGTGACGCGAGGGAGAGAGAGAGAGAGAGAGACTGTCTGTAAGGAACCAGAACATAAACCTCTTATCTCCCTTTGTGCTTGACATGTAATAGGATTAAACCAGAGCACAGAAAACGTGGAACAGTCTGGAAGGATCGAGCTGAAGAACACGTTCAGTTGTGTGAAAGGAATAGTGCTGAGGTGGTCACACTGAGGAAGGACCTCAGATATATCCACACCAGGGACCCCTCTGTGAATAGCTTTGTAAACCTGTCCACTGACTTTGTTTGTGCTTATCGAGCACAATCTACTCTCCACTGGCTGTATTATTTGGGAAAATTTAAATGTTGTGTTAATATTTGAGTTAACTGTATAGACGTGCAAGTTTTTTTGTCTCTTGTCGTGAAATTGGGTCTGGGCGATCATTCAATATGATAATTCATGGTGTGTCATTGGAATGATATTGAATAATATGATATCATGCTGTTGGCTGAATCGATCTTAACAAACACACGAACTGAAGTTTCTCTGTAAAACCTGACGTGATAATAATCCTGCTGATGGTGTATTTGAATCAGACTAATCAGATTACTCTTGATGTGTGCATTGTCTATAAACATAGTCAGTGCACACAGCTGGAAATATTTATTTTATATAATTATTATAATATTAATATTATATTCCAATAGATCCTAAATGCTAAATACTGTTCCTTTGTCTAGTATTATAACTCACACAGGCGTAAAGAAGCTATGTGGTTATTTCATATAGACTGTTAATTTGTTGAATTACCAGAAAACAAGATATAATGTGATGTATATCATTATCGAGATATAATATGAGCTATATCGGGATAGAAGATTTTGACCGTATGAGAACATCATGTCTGACTTTGTAACTGTCAAGTGAATGTTGCTGCACAGCTGTACACAACAGGAAGGCAACTTAGTGCACATTACAATGGTATGATTTGGGGAAAAGGTCAACAATAATGTGACGTATGTGTTGTAGTTCTTCTGAATTTTGATTTCATGACAGAGGAGACATTTGTTCATATAACACGAGCAGCGCTGCTCTGAGCCTCATTGTGATTCCAAAGTATGGACAAATAAACTCACCTGTGACTGATGCTGACTTCTCTAATTCCTAATTAAATGGAGGAGCCTGTTGTACGGAGGATTAGGAATGCTTCTCCATGATTGCCTGATGACAACATATTGCTCCTCTCTGTAAGCACAAAGGCTTCAAAGGCTCGGATCATCTTTTCCCCCCCCAGTGTTCGCGTGCATGTGTAATATGATAGAAGTACAATCACTGGCTTCCTGCTGCAGCCAGACAGCTTCAGTAGAGAAGCAGCTCAAGTCCTGATTTTCGATGAATAGGGAGAGAAGCGTGTTTGAACAGTCGGATTTAGCCGACATCTGCCGCTCAGGTTTGCTCTCTGTATTGCTGTGTGATGAAAGCCTTCAGACAAAAGCCCCACTAGGCAAACACAGGGCACACTGCTGCTCACTCCATGTTTGTCCCTGATTTTGTCAATTTTAATTGTTGGCTGATGACGTTTTGTTTTGACAGGAACATGAAGCATGAAACACAAGAGTGAATAACATCTAGGATCAGTGCGTGTTTAGGATATTATTTGTGTCTTCTCACCTTTAAATTGCTGAAATACAGCCGATCATCTAATACATTAAATCAATAATTTAGTAAATATTTTTTTGCTAAACTTTGCTTTTACTGTTTAAAGTATTTCATGAAAAATGTCATAGCATAATATGCAATAAGAATTTAAAGAAAAGTGTCATAAAAAATGGATAATATACTTTGTCATAAAACAAAAAATAATATAGCATGACGTAAAAAAGTCATAAAATAGTACGTCATTAAGAATCATAAAAAATCATAATATAGTGTATCATAAAAAAGGCATAGCATGGTATGCCATAAAACATATATAATATCTTATATAGTATCTTAGAATAATATACAGTATAGTTTGCCATAACATTGTCAAAGAAAATGTCATAGTGCAGTGTGCCATATAACAAATAATATAGCATCTCACAAAAATGTCATAGCATATTATGCCATATAAATTTCATACAAATGCCATAATATAGTATCTTGTAAAAACTGTACAGAATTCCATTAAAAATGTCACTGTATAGTATGCCGTGTTAAATTAACCTGGTAGTCGATCGGTATTCAATGTTGTCGTTTGTGAGCTTCCGGGTAAGGGTCACGTGATAGACGTGTGACGAATCAGGGAGGGACACGTCATGACTGCTAAGAACCAATCAAGTAGCGAACGCGGGTGTGGGCGTCATCGTTTCTAATCGTATCCGATTTCGGCCGTCCACACGAAAACTCATCCGACCTCGCGAGCGTTTTCAAACGTATCCGTTTACGGTGCTCTGAAACTCTGGCGTCGTGTGGACGCTCAGTGTAAACGTAGTAAAACATGTGTTTCCAAATGGAAACGGAGTAGTGTGGACATGGTCTAAGTCAGTCCGTCTATCCTGCTGTTGTTAGAGCCCCCATGTGGAGCACTCCACCTATTGAGATCACACTGCTGTTTGCATTTTATTCTGTTGTGGTTTTTGGTTATATCTGTGTTTTTTCTGAAAAGCATGTTGTAACTTGTTTAAAGAGAAGTGCTGTATAAATGAAGTTCATCATTATTATCATTGCTGCAACGTGAGCTCTCCATTGACATCAAGACACCAGGAACTCAACATATCTTCAGTCGCAGACTGAATACTCTCTGTTCTGACTGCACCATGTCCCATTAAATGATATATAATACAAAAATTAATCTTTCTCTAATTGTTATTCTAAATGCAGCACTTGAAGCAGTTCAGCATCTCTGCTGAGGTTGTTTTTGCAAATGTTTCTTGCAATCTTGGCGTTGGATCCACACGGTTGAATTCACTTATTAGAAGTCTCTGGATAAAAGCGTCAGATAAATGAATGTAATGTTGGAGTCATAGGGCACTGCTGTAAGAACCAAGCTTCAAAGTATAAATAATAAATAAAGGTTAAATAATTAGTTGAGCTTTGTGGAACTCGCTGGATAGATTCACAGATTTGAGTTCATTATTGGATTCATTTTGGAGCAATAAATAAGGTAATTTAGCGTTAATGTGTCACTTGTTTGTCTACAGGTAGGAAGGACATATTGGTCGAGTCAGAACAAATGCAAATTGTTATTTAGAGGATAAATTACATGTTTTTATAGTTTTGTTTTAGACAGCAGGAAACTGGCCACTGACATGGTTTATTCTCAGGTTTGCCTGAATGGTGAGTGGTGGGAAGAGGTCCGAGAGGTAATTGGCTCAACCTGAGGACATGACATGTGAAACTGAGGGATCAAATACTGTCCTCACACTCCTCAAAGCTTTCACTATATATGTTGTCACGAACGTGAACAAGCTCAACAATGAACACCTTTCATTGCAATTTGGGGTTGAGCATCAGTAGGAGCCGAGGATCGAACCGCCAACCTTAAGGTTAAAGGACCAGTGTGTAGTATTGAGAGGCATCTAGTGGAGAGGTTGCAGAATGCCTCCAGCTGAACACCCCTCTGCTCACCCATTCCTTTCCCAGCGTGTTGGAGAACTACAGCGGCCTTCAGCTAACGTAAAACAACTAAAGGCCAGTGTTTGATTTGTCCGTTCTGGGCTACTGTAGAAACATGGCGCTGCAAGGACCCACCCTTTATGTACATATAAACACCTTATACATATACATATATATATATATACGGTATATGTATAAACGCCTCATTCTAAGGTAAAGAAAGCACATTTCTTATGTTCAGGAGATTGATGAAAACATAGTTATGATATTATATTTATGTATGCTCCTTTAAAAGACAACCATGACCTTTTTATACCATACCTGACTATAGCTTTTGACACACTATACACTATAGTATGACTAAACTATTTTTTTTGCCTATGGGGTGAGTCAATGTCTTGATACATTTGATGACTTTTTGCTGTATTTTACTGTGTAAAATGTTTTTGTAATTATTTTGTTTTGAACATGCTCGTGTTTTGTTCTTCCTCCTGTACGGTAATCTGAAAAGCTAAACCCTTTGATGTCACCTTTTCACAGAAAAAGAAATAGAGAAATCTGTCATGTGAAATAACTAAAGTGGATCTAACTTTGACATATGTGTTCATGTAGGATGCTACTCAGAGTAAGAAGCTGAGACAATAAGGCCTTCAGCACCTTGAAATGATCAGTAACAATACTTGTTATGGAATCAAGGAACTACTGATGCCTTAATGTTTATGTTTATACATCTATCACCAACTATAACTTCAAATTAAATCCATATTTTACCACCGTATATACAAAAGAATGCAAAAAAAAATGAAGTTACGAAGTAGGAAATATCTGCATTTTTGTTTTACTTTGTTGAACAGATTGTTGGCAAATTTTCTCTTAGATTTGGTTTGATGATTAAATGACACACAGCAGCAGCTATCGGCATACAGTGAGGCTATTAATGTATATTTTGCTATACCGGTATCATTGTGTCAAGAGATAAAACGCTCCAGTGTGAAATCTGACCCCACAGTCTGCTGCTTTAAACCTGCAATTTATCTGCAGGCACATTTATTTGGAAGCCCCCGACGTAAGTATCCATTTCCATGAATGAATATCCTGAGCGATCCTCGAGCCAGGTGAAGACACCGTGTGACGGTCTGCGTGCTGTCTAGGCATGTGGGGAGCGGTCGGCAGTGTTCAGAGGCACACATGTATCTCGGGTCACTGATATCGCATCTCCATTTATATTTAATTTGCTGGACTACAACAACACAGTTCGGAGGGATGGCATTGTGTCAGTCCCAGCTCCAGTTGAAGAGCTTATAGCACGAGTATTACTCATTTCTAAATGTCCTTTTCTCTGATGAAATGTGTATGCATGCTCAAGATCTATTCCAAGTCGTTGCACCTGGACAAGAGAGAGTGACATTAGTTT